TTTTAAATTTGCTTTCATGCATTTTCCTTCTCCTTCCATTTTCATAGATACTTTTCCTTCTACCATTCCCTCTCACCTCTCGTGACCCTCTCACCCCTGACCCCTCCCACACCCTGTCACCCCTCTGACCCAGCCTCCCTATGGTTGAAATCAAATTATAGGTTTCTCTCTGTCAATATTTTAAAAAGTAAACATTAAACAACAGACCTCACCATATTAACACCCTGTGAAATAACCTTAAGAGTTTATGAGATTTGTTCTATGGAGTCTCAATGTTACAGCAGACCCAGCCATTCTGTTCTTGTTGAATTTCAAAACATCCACTGTAGATTAATATGCTGAGGGATTTTTGTGATCACAACATTTCAATCTTTCAGTGTGGCTTTTGACTCTGTCACTTACAATTCAGTCAATTTGAAGTTCAATTGTTTCCATATTTAAAAACATATCACGATTAAGACTTCTCGCTTCAAGTTACTTTATCAAACTGACATAACAATTAAATTACTTATCAAAAATATAACAAAATTCTTGAATGTGATTGGTTATCACCAGCCTGATTTGAGCACTAACAGGACAGTGTACATGTCTCTCTTGTAATTGAACAGTGTAACAGGACAGTTAAAGAGACAGTTAACATATCATGCCTGTGTAAGTGGACAGAACATGTCATGTGCACAAGCTGTTTTCTCTCATTTCCTCCCGTTAACTGTTTTTTTTTTAAATTTTATGAAAAAGTTTAACCAACGTCTAGTTTCTTTCTCAAAATTTGTCATAGTTTGATTAATTAGTAACAGGACTTTGTGTCATCCAATTCTGTCTGTAATTATATTTATCAAAAAAAAATTGGACTCCTGCAATGCAGTCATCTGATCTTGTAAATCACTTGTATGATTACAGACCAAACTGGACTCCACTCGGTCTTATTACCATTATAAATACTGCATCCATATGTTAACCATTTGTTCACCTGTGTACCACATATAAACCTGACTGAACTGAGTCCATTGCCATACTTGTCTAAGGCATCTTTAGCTGCTTGTATAACTTCTGGATGAGACTAGAAAAAGGAGATATAAATGAAGAATTAAATTGTGCAAGATTCTGTAGCCACAATAAATTTATGCATAGACAGTACAAAACAATGTTCCTCTCTATAAAATCTAGTCAATTTTTCTCTTACCAGGGTTCATCCCTTTATTTCACTAACACAAAAAAAATAAGTTTATCCTGGATATTTGTGAACTGATAGGAGTACTGAAAAAGTCCCTCCTACTTTTTCCATCAAAATCAATGTTTGGACTTAAGGGGAGCATTGCATTATATCCAACAGATTGGAGACTACCCATTTTGGTGACAGTAACATTGGATCATCCTGAACACTAAAAGTAAGAGGGGAAGGCATCCCTGGGTATAAAAAGTTTTGTTACTGTAACAGAATCAAGTTGGACTTGCAAAAACAAAGCTTTTTAACCCCAGAACTTTATACGTCACCAAGTTTATATGGACAGTTCAACAATTAATTCCCAGAGACACCCAGAACCCTGTTTTTTTCATCAACAATCTGTGCAAATCTTAGGTATAACTCACTGACAGTCCCAGATAGTTATTTGCACAAAAGTTGAGCAGCTTTTCAGTTTGTCCATGTACTGCAATTTCTGGGGCTTGTTTGGTTGTTATGACCCTTTCGTCTTTCCATGTGCCTGCTTGGTGGATGTCACTGAGCTGCGAGTCTAAGATTCCACGAAGAGCAAGCTGTGCTGCACTTGAATATTGGACAGAAATTTGTAGTCTTGGGCAGCCTGAGCTGTGAAATGTTTTGATACCTAGAAATTGGGTGGCAAAAACACACTCATTTTATTATACACTTCTTTATCACAATGGTGTCAAAAGACAAGAAGGTACATAGAAGTCCTGTGGTGACCCATAAGGCAATTTTTCATTAGACAAGGTATGATTTTTGTGTTTTCCTCAGTCCTTTAATCAAGCTACAGGGCGCTTATTTGATGTTCATGATAAGACAAGGGACACTCCAAACCATAGCCAGATATAATAGTTTCTTGAAATACAGTATTGATATATAAACAACAACATAAACCATGTATTAATGTACTTGGTGAAGCCTAAGGTTTTAACAAGAGCACAGACAAATTGAAACAATCATGATATGAATATGTTTGGCTGCACAAGAGTAATAAACCACCAACAATACTTAATATGCACCTTGGGGGGGGGGGGAGGGAGAATGCTTATTCAAAATGTTTGGTTAAGATTTCATACTTTGTTGTACACACAGTTCTTGGATAAAGAAAACAATGATGAAAAACAAGAGGTTGCCTTAAGGAATCCAGGGCTCGCACAGTAAAAATCCTAAGCTTCAGCTAACAAGGCAAGGGGATAAGGGAATGCTTAGCATTTTTAAAAAAATTATGGGGCTTAAGTCTCCCCCCAGCCCCTCAGCGTGGTCACTAGGGTCAGTTTACAATAGTACGGGGGTTACATGTATATGGAAATATTTCCAAATTTGGGCAATAGGAGGGGCACATGATTGAAGAGCAAGGCTATTTATGGGATCTATGGTATAACTTTCACGTTCCACTTGCAGAGTTGTTTGAAAAGTGTAGTAAACTAAGTTGTGCACCAATAGGAACACAGCTAATTAGAGCTTAGATCACAACTTATTTTTGTTTTATTTAAGGCCTATAAGGGGAGTACCCATAAAGAATGCTTATGGCATGCAACCACTCCGGACGAGTAACGTTTGTTTACGCGCCTCCGCTAACACCCCCCTCACACCCCCAAGAGCTTGGTTTCTCAAAAATAAGATTTTGTGAAAAGAAAACAACACAGTAATAAATTACGTATATCCTACAGAAGGGTCACACGACCAGATGCCCTCATCATCAACAGTGAAGGTACCAGAGTAAAAACTACCAGGTTCTAAATTCGAATTTCTCAATCGATAATTTGGAGAGATGCTAATTACTCACCTGATGGGAAGATCGATCGAAGCGATATCCTTATTGCTGCCATTATTTACAAGTATATTCGAAACTTAACTTAAAGTAATTAATCAAATAATGATCACAATACCCGCGAAAATTATCGTTAGTGAATCTCTACACTGAAAGCCTCGTTGTGGTGCCTAAGTAAGCCAGCGGTTCATCACATAAAACTATGATTTTCCGTAAATAAGCGACACGTCTGTTAATCAGTGTAAAGAGGAATTTCGTCTTTTACAATTTCTAATCTGCCGTTTTTACCGCTATGAGACGAGCCCATGGTAAAATAATTATTTCTTTATAACAATATGTCTCAAATATATCTTGACGTTCACTTTCTGGCTTACTGAAAAGTTATTTTTCATTGTTGATCTGTTTTTTGGTTTCACGTAGTTCCTTCAGATTATCACGGAAATATGGCGCAGAGAACTGATCATGAAATGCTGGAAGAAGAGAACGATAAAATGGTCGATCATCTCTCAAGCAAAGTTCAAGCATTGAAATCGGTACTGTGTGATTATCTCTTTATATCAATGCGACTGGTACATTGGAGAAGTAATGACTGTATTGTAAGGTCTAGCTTAATAACTATTTATATTTCTTGTTAAAAAGATTAAATTTGGAACCCCGATGAAAAGAGTTTTTAATTCTTTTGGTTGCAATATTGAGAAAAGTAATATTCATTCATTTATTTAATTATTCATGTATCCAGTTATTTATCCTTAAATTTTTAGTCCCATGCTATTAGTTTAACCCTTCAACCTGTCTAATTTCTCCTTACAACATCACTCATACATCAAATATGAAGGTCATGAGAATAAAGGAAATGATCATCAATTTAAGAAGCTTGTGATTGTTAAACAAATTCTCCCTGTTAGCACCTTAGGACATGTATAGGGAATGGTTTTAAGATTATGCATACTGATGTTAGGGTTTTGAGGAGTTCATTTAACTTCTGCATCCTGGTAATCTTGAGTTTTATAAGGGAGGTAGTACAACTGGTCCCCATCTTATCTTTGATCTTAATATCTTTTTCTTGTAGCTTACAATAGACATTGGAAATGAAGTGAAATATCAGAATAAAATGCTGAAAGAAATGGTTAGTTTTGTAGTCCTTTTGCCTTTTTTGATTACCGTAAACAATGAGGTATAAGCTGCAATTGCAGATAAGCCACAATCCTCTTTTTTTTTTTGCAAATATTTTTTTTTTTATGATGGTGTGACTTATAGGCTGGTGTTATCAGTATTTGTGTTTAATTATGACTACAGCTTTCACATGCAGCTTTTTACTGGTAATCTGTGTTTGGCAGAAAAGCTTGTTAATCAGTAACCAAAGGTCCTTGGTTTACAAACTTTTCCTGTGATCCTTAAACATCCTTCATAGGTTACTATACTTTAGTGTTCTCCCTTATTTTTAGCATGACAGGTAAAAGAAATTTTCAAACTGGCTGGGCAATCTATTTACCCCTTGGATTTTAGGTGGTCATGAGAGAGACTATGGGCTTTGCTGACCATATTCTCTCTTATGACTGGTTAACTACCATTTACCACCTGATAAGGAGAACTCTGTGCTAATAAATGGAAAGGGCAGTCTAATTCTTAGATAAAATACAGCTATGAGTAGTCCTGATGTTTTAGAAATGTTAAAAAAAGATTTTAAAAGATTTCCCATTTCTTGGTTTTGCTTTTAAGGATACAGATTTTGACTCTGGAGGCTCACTATTATCATCAACCATGAACAGGTTAACAGCACTGACAAAAAAAGGTCACCACAGAGTCATGCTCTATCTGATTTTATTTTGCCTTCTTGTTTTCTTTGTAACCTGGTATATTATCAAAAGAAGATGAATGCTAATGAATATGTATATCAGAGTTCAAATTGTAAATAAAATGTCTATTCTTTTACATGGAGTGTGGGTACTTTTTTCAGAGTACTTTGAACTGGTGTTTCTGTTGAACTGTTTTGTTTAAGCCTTTCACTCCCAAGATCTCATTAGTAATTCTCCTTACTGTCTGCAATACAATTCTTCTAAGGTTAGTTCGCAGAATTTTGCATTGGAGGAACTAACTATCCCAAATTGTTATTTTTCTTTATTCTCATCACTTGTCTGCTTGATATTGTGTAGATATTTTAAGGAAAAAATTCTGCCATGGTCAGTTATGGTTGTTAAAGGGTTAAGGTCTTGTCTAAAACATTCACCCCCAAGAGCCCTTCAATTCTTGCTTGGGCATTGCTGGCTTAGGGACAAGAATTTAATGAGCAGTATGACAGTGGAACTTTTTTTTCACCAGTTTATGATATCTGTGTTGAAAAGCATGGCATCAACCACCCAGGTAAACAATTTTTCATAATCATAATCTGATCAAAAAAAGGAATTGTTATGGAAATCGTTGTATCTATTCATTCATTTATTTGTTTGTTTATTTGCATTATGTATACCATTGAGGTACATAAAACATTACAGTACTAATTACTAAATTATCACTTAAAGAAAACAAAAAGGGATGAAGATGAAATAAAGAAAACTAGGTAAATGAATTGAAGCAAAAGGTAACTAAGAAAAAAGAGGAAAAAAACATAGGGATACAAAATAAAGATGACAACAAAAGGAAAGTCATTAGTGAAAGTTTTGTGAGATCATTGTATTTATTTGCTAGAGCTATTTCTGAAATGAAGGTAATTGATGAGATTTATGATTTTTCTTACCTTTTCTCTCTACATGGCAGCTCTCAGAAAATTTCTTGTTCATATAATTTATTCACATGAGAGACTTATTAGTGAAATTTCCAATGTTTTGATGATTGTATTAATTGCCTCTGTAAGAAAAAACTTATAAAATGAATTGGGTATAGTTATTTGCACGTCCTAATCGTGTTCCCAACAATCTTCAGTCCTGTTCCATTCCAGCATTTCCCATTGCTCATTTGGCGGGAAGAGCGTGAGCGAAAAAGCGCGCGAACGAGCAAGATGGCCGCGTAATGTCAACTTTTGTTACTACGTAAATTTTTTTGCAGTTCAGTTCCCTCTTTTCTCCAGAAATCCCCTAAGAGTGGAAAGAAAACTGAACTTATACATTGGATTTTCTTCCCTCTGATGTAGTTTGATAAGCATGATGGCGTTCTTTTCACGTAGAAGACCAGATACCACCCAGAAATTAGGTCAACATGCGAATGAAACATCGACATGGTGAGGTGTCGATTGGCTTTATTTCTTTTCAGCTCAAGCTTTCTAATCTTTATTCTACTCTTGATTTTACATACAACATTTAAAACTAGCCCTAACTATTTCTCATCCTCAAGTTGATACGACAGTAAGCTATAGAAGTTTTCAAAATCTTCATGTGTTGTGTACAAAATAATATGACAGTCAGCTATAGCAGTTTTCAAAATCTTGATGTGTTGTATAGTACGTTATTATACAAACCCAATTCTTACCAGGCTTATAGTTCCCGCTGTTTAATCTGTCTTTTCTTAATTGATTTTATATTCTTAAAAAATATCTCGGAAAAGAAAAGGGAGATACATTTCGGAAGTCAGTTTGCCGCGTTTCGTGCTCTGATAGTGGAGACAGTGATGGAGTAGATAGTAAGACTGATAGTCCAAAAAAGGCAAGAAAAGCAGATAAGAGAGAAGAAAAGAATAATAAAGAGGCTGAAAAAGAAAGAAGAAAAAAACAATCACATGAAAAGGTTCTTATAAAGCACTTTGTTCTTATAGTTACTGAGCTTTGTGTGTCAAGTCTCATATCAAAAACAGTTCACTGTAGTGTCAATGTTATTCAACTCCTCATTTGCTGAATTACTGTTATTTCTGATTTTTCCATCCATTATAGTTGCTTTTCACTCTGTTCCATATGGTTACACACAATCAATCTGTACAAATTTATGAAGAGTTAAATTGGATTTTACAAACATGAGTTATTTTTTAACCTATTAACCCTTTGCATCCTAACATCAGTATGCTTATTCTCCGTACTGCTCTTAATACAATTACTAAGGGTCTGTAAAGGAGAATTTGTTTAACAGTCAAGAGTTCTTTGATTGTTGATCATTTCCCTTATTCTCATGACCTTAATGTTTGATTGAAGGCTGATATTGTGAGGAGAAATTAGTTGCCAGTCACCCTTAGGGGTTAAAGGTTAAGTAATGTTTCATAAAAGTGTGATTGGCTTTTGAATTTTTTTTGATAGATGACAAGTGCACATCATATGAAAAAGCATTCCTCTTCTAAAGTTAGCCCAAGTTCAAGTGAGCACAAGCACTCAAGATCCAAACATGTCTGTGGTTCCAAAACAGAGGTTAGCACAAAAACTCAGTCAGCATCACATGCGCTATTTAATCAATGGCTGTGACATGTATATGATGTTCTGATGACTATATTTCTCCACTTGCTATTTTTTGTCTTAAAACTTATGTGTTTTTCTGAAAACCCTAGCATTCCAAGAGAAGGAAAGAGCAGTTAAATGACCCTAACATTGCCATTATTTCAAAGAACAGAATTACAGTAAGTAAATGCTTTGGAATGGTAGTAAAAAGAAAATGTTCCCTTGTCACAAACACATATATTTCTGGGATTATCAATCTTCACCAATAAATAGAATAGACAAAAAGTTCATCAGTTGTTTAATACCATTTGAAATTTGGAGAAAGCCATGAAGTTTAGTATCAAGCATTTTAGTTTTGTAAAACCAGCAGAGGACTAATCACTAATATGGTACTTGTACAAAAATATGATTGCTGTCAAATGCATATGACAATTTTGAACTGATAACTTAATATATGTTGTACAATCAAGATCTATGTACAATAAGATTTTTTTCCAAAGTCAAGCTAAACAGGGTCTTGTAATATGGGGGAGTTATAAACACTTCAGGCTAATAATATGTTTAAAATACTTGATTTTCTTTCCTTGCATCAAAAGTCTGCCATAAGGATGTATATAGCCAATTCATTGCAATAACAGTGTTCCAAATTATGCTAAACAAGATACCTTGCTTGTAAAATTGTTGCTGATCCTGCATGATTTTTAATTACTTTGACCATTATAATTCAATTGATCATGATAATTATTTCATTCAAGACCTTGTTTCTCTTTTCCTGGAAAAGGAAGCTTATAATTTTTTTAGTATCTTAATGTAAAATAAGAGAAAACAATATCTGAATCCATCAGGTTCATGTATATGAAAGTTTGCTTTATAAGTAATTTCATTTATAAATGACCATGTTTCATGTAAATTGTAGAGACAACTGGGTATATACAACAAGGCCAAAAGATCCAACACAATTTTGAGAGGTGAGAAAATAACAATTATAATATTGGTTTACAGCCTGTTAATGCAACTGCTTTGCATCACCCCTGGACCAATGGGAGTATTTCTATCAAGCATAAATCTCTCCTAATTTGTTTGTACCTTATTTGGTTTGGCAGAGAATCTCAAGCAAAAAATATGTAAAAAGGTTAGTGGTAAAGCAAACATTTACATAATAATAATAATACTTACCATTGAGTTGAAAATAAACTATTTATTTTCTCAATGCTGATAGCTTTCTAAGGTTAATTATGTCCAAGAAAGCTCTCTGGAAAGTGTCTGTAGTTGCAAGCTTCATGTAAACAGTTGAAAAGTTTAAAGTGTAACTTACAGCCCTACTAGTGATGATATTGTCCAAATCAGCATATTTGACAGAAGTTCTTTCACATTTCTTAGAAATTTGAAAATGTCAAGGCAAAAACTGCAGAAGATATGGCTAAAGTACTTGATTGTTCCTCCTTCAAAATATACTTATCTCGCAGTGGCAGTCTGCAAGAAGGTCAAGGTAAGTTTCCAGCTATTACACTCTATTTCCAAATGAAATTATTACATATGAGTTATGATCATGGGTACCAATAAATCACAACAATTTTTTTTCCAAAATAGATTCTCCAGTCCAGCACATTTCTGGAGAACGAGATTCTCTGTAAGTTAATATTTCATTCTAAGTTGTGTTTTATTAATAATCTATGATAAATAATGATAACAAATGATAATACACAGTAATGATTATTTAAAAGAAGATCAAGGTGGACAATAAAATAGGCATCCTATTCGTTGCAGTGTAATTCTTGCCAAACATTGACATGTATTCACATTATTATAATAATATTTTCTTTTTCATTTTTAGAATACAGAGCTCTGCTGGTAGCAGTAAAACTCAGAGGTATTAAATTTACCTTTTTATTACATAAGAATAAGTAATAAAGTGTCTTAAGAAATTTCCCTATCAGCCAGAGTGCTTGGCCTTTGGTTCAATCATGGTTTTTGGCAGAACATGTAACTGTTCATAGTTATTTCCACTTGGAGAGTTTTAAGACAAAGTTAGAGAACCCAGATGACTAGGATTCCTATTAAGAGGATCAGTGGCACTCTCTGTCCACTCTCTGTGGACATTTTTTTCCATCCTTGTATTTGATATGTGAATACCTTACTGATAGCTCTTGCAGTTCCACTGGTAGATACAGCAACCCTGACAAAAGTAGAATTACCCCAGTGCAAAGGATTACTCCTAGACAGATTGCACCTCAAAGTGAATCTATGCTAGCATTTAAGGTGTGTCTGTTATATGTTTTTTTCCTTTAATCAATATTGCACCATAGAAGGTTTGCTTATATACATGGTCTTGCTTCAAAAGTGGTAATTTGTAGGCCTAAATTACTAATAACTAATTATCAATGAAATGATATGAAATATTTATCATTAATAATCAAGACAGTGAAATTATTTCTATCATGAGACAAAAACTGTTCTCACACCTCCTTTAGACACCACTACAAGAAATATCAGAACATTTAACTGAATCCTTGAGACCCTTGGAGACATTTCATGGAAGAAGTAAGAAAACATATTTTCTGAAGAATATAACTCTTGATATGAGAAGGTCACTAACGTGTCTATGTCTTACTGATCCATGCATGTATTTACAAGTCTAGTTGATCATATATTCTGATTGTGCAGGTGGGAGTAGTCAACTGCTACAGGGTTCTAATCATTTGTTGGTATACTTTTAAGCTATTACTGGAATGTTGGTCCCTCCTTCTAAGAATTTTACATGCCACAGTTTAAACAAAAGTCCTTACTATTTTAACCTTTGTAAAACAAAAACCTTAGTTTGTAAAACAAAAGCCTTTGTATAAATTGACAATTTTTTTTTGTTTAGAATATAATTTCCTATTTCCACTTTTTTTTTTCCCTGTAGACTACTTGGTTGAAGTCCAGGAACAACTGAGAAAAATGATTAAACAAAGGTAAACAGATGCAGATTTTATTTTAAAGAAATAATCAACATGTTTGACCCAAAAAGTGTATTTGATCCAGCTTGCTATTTCCACTTACTGATGAAGATGAGAGAATTGTTATAATAATGATAACTAAGGATATTTTAGTCAAGATACCAGGACCAACCTTGAAAACATTACCACAGGGAATTTTCTAATGAATACATTTTTCAAGTTCTGTTAATAGCCAAACACAAAGTACTGCAAACAATGTTGGAGTAACCTCTCAAGTCCAAAAGCGATGTCTTAAAAGAAAATCAAAAGGTTTGTACAAATAACAAACTTAGATTGTGTGATATTCAGCACCACAAAATAGCTATCTGCCTAGCATCACATTTCCTTTGTATTGGGAAACAGAGCCTATTGTATTTACCTTGTCTTATCTTAACCTCAGATGAAATTGCAGCTTCAACTGGGTACATAGGAAATGAGAAACATCACTGTGATGACTGCCTGCTTCAAAATGAACAGCACAAGAATTTGGCTGCCATGGAGAGTCAGTCGCTGAAGACAAAAGCACAGCAAGTCAAAGTAACTCAAGTAGTTTCTACCAATGCTTCAAGAGTTTATTCCTGTACAGAAACAGTTCAACCAAAAGAATACCAGGTAATGAAGAGTTAGCAATAAGGATTTGACATGATAATCTCCTTACATATATGTAAGAGCTCTGGAAGGATGGAAAGTTGAGAAATCATAAGAGTGAGGTAATTAATGGTGTATGAACTTTTTTGCCAACTATCAATTTGTTTGAAAAGTTATCACAAGGATCGACCAGTAGAGAACTTGTTTTTGGTAACTCTGGTGTAAACTTCCTATGCAGGATCCATGCCCTAGTGCTGTGGAGAAAGAGGCAAGACATAAGGAGGAAAAGGACCATAACTATTTGTATGTCAGTGATGTTCGCCGATGTTTGTTTGAACAAAGAAACTGTCAGTTTCCAACTACTGATACAAAAGTGTATGCTTCTTCAAACAACAGTTCCTCATTGGACATTCTAGACTTTCTTGATGGAGTTGAACAGGAATCAAATGTTGTGAACAGTCAACAACACAAAGGTTATGAGACCCCTAACCCACAACTTGTTTCTCCTCCAAAAAAGCCAAATCTAAAATCACCAATTCCTGAGAAGAGATTCTATCCCCACAAGCTGTACTAATTGGATAAATTTATTAAAATAATAATTGCAAGCACAGAGACAAGTGAGGAAGTACTTTAGGTTTTGTCCAGTTTCATCTGAAGGAAGATTGGATTTCATGATTTTACTGGATATCAAAAAGATTCGGATTGGTTGGTATAATTGACACCCTAACAGTTTAATGGATTCTCTCCTCTTGGGAGAAGTATGGATGACCATAGAAGTGTGTTGTATCAGCAACCACAAGCAAAAGGAGATGTGAGGGATCATAATATTTTGTGGTTTCTTATAAATAAATGTGACTCCTGAAGTCATCAAATTGATGGAAAATGACATTATTTCAAAACTGACGTCTTAAGCTGTATTGTGTATATTGTGTCATTTAAAAGTTGTTTTAAAGACTTTTTTTTGTACATATTTATATGGTATTACTGGAAATTAAATACAGTTTTAGCGACTCTTCATTGAGGCAATTAACAATCGAAACTTATTTGTTGGACCCCTAAATCACTGAGTACACAGAATACATTTAAATACATTTACACCGAGAATTTTTAAACCAGAACATTCACCAAAAGTCTTCAGCATAACGAATAGGTTTGCTATCTTTGATAAAGCAGGTCATATCATCAGTGAAAAGGGGAAGTTTAACAGGTTCATCTCGTATTGTAATACCCTTAATGCCATCATCTTCTCTTATCTTTATAGCTGAGGTCTCCAAAGCTATCATAAACAGGTAGGGAGAGAGGGCCTCCCTCTCTTACTCCCCTACTTAGCACAAAAGGTCTTGTTGTAAAACCATTGTTCATTACACAGCTAGAGGCGTTGTTATATAAGACCCGTATCCACTGAATAAAAGAAGGATCAAAAGTAAATGCATGTTGTACTCTTAAAAGAAAATTTAAATTGAGGGAGTCAAAAGCTTTTTCAAAGTCTAGAGCTATTAGAATCCCAGGTAAATCTTTGTACCTAGCATATTCAATCACATCATTAATCGTTCTGACGGCATCAAAAATTGTTCTCCCCTTTACAAACGCATTTTGATTAAAATGAATTACTTCAGGAAGTACCTTTTCCAAACGCTTTGCCAAAGTTTTAGACGCCAATTTAGCATCAACATTAACAAGAGATATTGGACGCCAATTCTTCACCAACCTTTTGTCTTTTCCTTTCTTTTCAATTAAGGTGATAACAGCCTGTTTCTGTTTATTTATGAAGAAGTGATTGTGTTTATTTATTAATAAGAGATCATTTTGACTCAAGCAGTAGTGACAAAATAAGGTATAAGTCAGATCTAAGAATATTATATATTCTTCAGATATTTGACAAAAGTTAACAATTATATGACTTAATTGTTATAATAATTGCATTTTTTTGTAATAAAATCTGTACCTATTGGATAAAAACCATAGAGGAAAAGAAATGGAAAACTTCAAGCCCCCTCAATCACTTGCTTGAGTGTAATTATATACCCATGATACTTTACCTAAAAAAAAGTTATTGTTTTGGATAACAATGTGACATTTCTGTCAAACTGTCATTAAATTATGCTTTCACACATCTCTGGCATCACAAAATTCCTCTTTTCTCTTAATAAGATAAAAAAAATGGAAAACTTCAAGCCTCTTTAAATTAAACACCAACTTGCTCTTAGGTGCAATAGTTCCATGATATATAACCAAGAAAAGTTACTGTTAAGGGAAATTATGCAACATATCTGTCAAACTATTATGCTCTCACTCACATCCAGCTCAGAAAAATCTTTCTTTTTCTCTCAATAAGATAAAAAGAGTTAAGTGTCTTAATAAATATTTGGTATTTTCATGTTAATCAGTTTTAGTGGTACATTGTCTGTCAACAGTGACTTGTTGACTGTGGATATTTAGACTTGAGTTCCTTTTTAAATGTCCTAAAAAGATCTCTGTTACGGTTATTTTCCTCATCCTTGGCAGAGTGAAATCCATCCCTTGTTTTGAAACCATGATGAATAAGAAAAGCACTGTTGAGGACCACAAAGTCATAGCCAGCAGTGTGAGTCTCACAGACTTGACTGATCCTATTAAACCCATACTGAAAATAAATAATCCAAAAAAGTTAACAATAATTATTAAATAAAGAATAATACATGGGCATACATTCTCCAGTCTTCAAATGTTTAACTTGATATATCACAATTGAGTGCAAGTATCTTTCTTGTTTGCAGTTGTGATGCTTTAGAAATTTGAAGATCAATTTTCCCTTTGACATCTTCAGGTGAAATATGATATACTAAAAAGGTTAGGTTATTTTTCTCTGTTCTGAGGAAGTAGGAAGTAGGAAGTAGGAAACTCTAATTGACAAATACCTCACTCAAGGTGGAAATACCACATTCTTTGGTTGGCTGGTTAGGTTTTATCCTAACTATAAAAATTGCAGATTCCCTGTTAGAAAGTTCATACCTGCTTGAATCTCTCATCATATAGAGGAACATGATTGGGTGCAATGTAAAATGGTTCCCATGGATCCTTCCAATCAACGGAATAAGCTATCTGCAAATTGTTGTCTGAAGAGATATAGCTAAAAATAGAGATGAGATGTTACTAATTATGACACTGAACACTAGATAATAACCAAGAACAATTACTGTATGTCAAGAGTAAACATCATGTTTTGCATTTTTGTATCCATTCTGTTACTATGGTATGATAAATAGGCTATTACCAATGATTCCAAGAGTGCTTGTTGGATATGAGATGATAGCCAACAAGGCTCGTAGGGCTGAGTTGGCTATCATCTCATTGTTATCCAACAAGTGCAAGAGGAATAATTGTTTATTAAAAATGCCCAGAAATATATAAAAATCTTCCCAACTTTACTTTGTAAGTACAGATGGAATGTTACAATGGTTGACTTCGTCATCATGCTTGTGCATTGTACAGTCATGTATAATGGCTCATAACCCATGTTGCTAAGCCAATGAAAATTTTTGATTTGCATTATCCAATGATCCAGTATTTAATAATAAGGATATCATAGCATGTCACAGAAGATAAGTCACATTCTTTTCCTTTGACACTATAATACATGAACTCTTGAAATATTTCAAGCTTTAATGTCTTGTAAAAAACATTTCAATTAAGTGTGATGAAAGTAACACATCACAAGAGATACATGTTTTGGTTTTGTTGCTTTCTTGGGAATTGTGTGGTCCAGGGTTCAGTAGTGTCCAAGGAATGGTGTAGAATTCTTGAGAGGAATGCATGTTATGCACCTTTCCTGCCATAAATTGTCAGACTAGCCTCCAATTCAAGGAGAGCAACAGTCTATTGATGCTATGGAGAATGGTATGAACTATGGTGCTGTGAGCTGCTTGGACAGAGTGGTTGTTCACAACACAGTGAAACATCACCAAAATGCCATAACCCTCTACACCCCAACACCAGTGTACATGTTCCCCATACTGCTCTTTATACATTTTCTTAAGAACTGACAATCCAAGCATCTTAGGTGGGCGATCATTTCCTTTATTCTCATGATCTTAATGAATGATTCAGTAGTATTACTGTGGGGAGAAATAAGATGCTGATCACAAATTGGGATTTAACCCTTTCACTCCCAAGATCTCATCAGAGACTTTCCTTCCTGTTTGCCATACAATTCTTATCAAGTTAGTTTGGGGAATTTGAAATTGAACCAACTAGTAATCCCTTAATTGATATTTCTCTCTACTATTATCACTGGTGTGCTTGGAGAAATTCTGGCTTGGTACACTCATGGGGGTGAAAGGGTTAAGACTTCATGTTTTCTGGGTCTGACGAAAAGATTCTTTAATGTGTTCCCCTGACTTACCTCTTCCATGCATCATAATCTAAATGCTTCTGGCACTTCCAACATGTTTGATAATAAAATGGCTGTACACTACCAGAATCCCACAGGCCTAATAACTCTTTCTTTGTCAGTGATGGTGAAAGCTTTTTAACACTTTCAAAAGCAGCTACCACAAACACCCTTTTAACTGAAGAAGAGAAAACAAAATCATTACCGTACTAGGCAAAAAATGTTTTCTCCAATATAAATGCTCCACTTAGAAGTACCAGTTGAATGAAACAGGACTGATTTGTTTGCAAGGGGGAGAGTTTTTCTATGTAGTGCTATAGACTACAAAGGCATACCAAAAAGGCTTCAAACAAGAGCTATGATTTAAAACACACAAACTACAATTAATGCTGCTTTCCAGCTCTCTTCCACTAGTAAATTTCCTAATTATGTGCATTTGATCATATGCACATGTAAATGTGCATTACAAATAATAAATATTACTATTATTATTTTATTAAATACTTGCCCTTAATGAGATACTGCTGGTCAACTATACTACACTATACTGACTCACTTCACGCTTAGAAAGCCGAGATAAATTCAAGCCTTTATGAGGCAGTAAGTTTGTTTGCATTGGCTGGCTGTAAGGAGTTTTAAAATAATATTAATAATAACTTAGGAAAATATTCTTAATTCCCTACAATTTGTGGAATACTTCATAATTTATCATCTTTGTTGATGTGTTTTCACACTTTTCCTCTAGTCTAAGCAGAATGCAAAGCATTCATTACAACTGAACCTAGTAAATGGCCAAGCTCACAAATGCACTCACTGAAGATCTGTGATAGAGCATTGGACAGTGTCAATGGTCTGAAGCGCAAGTCCTAGGATTTTTCTTTTTTACATTCTCATGACAAATAAATAAAACCTTTTTTCAATACCTTTGTTCACCATAAGGTTTATATGTTGGGCGTATTCAAGGAAACTGGAATAAAGATCACCATTACACATCATGTCCACATCAACCACCAGTATGTAGGCCTCTGGAGGTAAGATTGAGCGTCCGACATTTCTCAACAGATTGTTTGGATAGGGCACCTGTAAAAGATAATTAAAACAAAGCATTAAAGCACTAAGACCTGTTGTGGTTAAGACTAACTGATACACATACAAAAACACCCATGGACAGCATTTCAGCAGGAAAAACAAATGCGGCTGAAAGGAAGTAATCTATAGCACAAAACAAAAATAATCCCTTGGACACAAAGATTCCATAGCAGGGGTGTAGCCAGACTATATCATAATAGGCATAGGCCTTCAATTTTTTTTTGTTCCTGCTTGACTTTTATAAGATGACTCTTGCAAAGGTTGAAACAAAACAACTGAACATTCTTTAGGACATACTTTCAAGTTCTTAAATAACAAAGAAGCAGCAAGAATAAATCTCCTCATGTTAAAAACACTGGGTTAGCACACCTCTAGATCTATGGAAATGGCTACAGCAAGTCAAAAAGCTGGCTTAACACTCCTGCATAGTTTTTGTTGTTGGCAGTTTGTAGTTAAGGAATAAGTTTCTCAAGCCTACAGCTGTATGCAGATAAAAAAAGGGGGCACTTATTAGAGAGGGGGCTTTAATGGAAGGAGGGCAGTAAATCCAATAAGATTTCTAAATAATTTGAAAAACTGTTAGCCCTCCCTAAAAAGTTAATCAACAAATCAAGGAACATCAAAATATGTTATACTTTGACATTGGCATAATTCCTGCCATGTTCTCCTCCAACCACATTGCTCTTGAGTTTTGCTAAAAACTTGTTGCAGTTTCCTTGCTGACTCAGTGCTTGTTTCCAATGTGGGTGAAGTACATTTTCTGCAGGAGGATGTGACAATGGGTACACCAAATGTACTGTCACACGATCTCTGAATGCTTCATGACACTGATAGAGGCCAAGTAGAGAGGTAAATGATGTTACTGCATCATAGCCTGGTATAAATACAGCTGTTGAACAATAGAAAAAAATTTAGGTAAACAGTTGTTAAGTGTTTAGATCTCAACTACCAGGTGTGGTGTAATCGGTCAATTTCTCTGGCCCTGATGCATGACACACTAAATTTAAAGCTGCTTTTACTGCCACAATCTTGTTTACTACTCATTGTTTTTAACCTTTCATGGGCAAATGAAAGCTAAAATAACAAATTGTCTCATAGGGCTTGACTCTTTGAATTGGTGGTATGTTCCTGCTAACATATTTTTCATCTCACCAAGAGCATATTTTTCTCCCTCACAAACAGCTTTAGGTTGTTTTTACAAAGTTTAAAGTTGTAGTAGGAGTTGTAAAACTTTCAACATTTTTTTAAAAGTGAATGTAAAACTATCAACATGTATCAACCCAAAAACTTGTTACATTATAACACTGGCTGGGCAATCTAAATTGTGAACAATAACAAGCCCTTATTATTAATACCTCCCTGTTAGTATGAGGGCTATGCTTGCTCAATTTGACAGATCATCTTTCATTGTATGACCTGTTAAATCAAAAGTTTAGCAAAATTGAAATCTTCTCCTCTCTATTTGATCCCAGACTACAGGGACATAAATTAGTTATAAACCTTGTTTTCTTGGTACATACTGTATGTTAAAGAACTTCTGTTTTTTCCACCCCAATTCATGACCAGTATGCTTCACACTTGTGCCATAAATGCAAGCTAAAATAACCTGGTGTATAACTTACAGTATAGACCTTAAACTTGGTTAACATACAGTTACACACCTAATGATATTGGGCCTTTCCAGTGCTCAGTGAGTTCAAGTAGATAATGAAGGTGATTGGAAGTACAATGAGTTACTAATGTTACATCCAGTTCCTCTTTCAATACATGAGTCTTTGCCAAAAGAAAGTTAACATCTACTTTGTACTGGCCGGAGGAATCTGTTGGAAGTTGTTTGAAATCCAGCTGTTTTTCGAGAAGATTCTTTGATAAAAAATTGAGAAAGGAGGGGAGTCAACTGGGAAGCAACTGTTTACTAAAATCTGTACCTAAGAAGAATCTATACAGGGTGATATTCTTGCGCTGTGCTCTCTGGTGCATGATCATGTAACAGTAGCTGGCAATGACATTGTGTGAACAAAGCAGTTTATTGAATCTGTAATGAGCCACAGCACACTGAAACATTTCCCTGTTACCTCATACTGTTCTAAAACAAAGTCGGGTAATTTAAAGAACAACTGCCTGAAAAAACTTGATGCTGACTGTCAGCCAACAGACAACCAACAGGTCACCTACAGGCCACTGAAATGGGGTTGAGGTAACCTATCCAGAATGGCAGTCCAATTGCAAGACTGGAATTTCAGCAACTCTTGTCTTCTCTCTTAATTTGGCCAAAACCTTCAGCAAGTACATCTTTCCATACAATGTAGCATTTATGTGCACTGACATTTGAACGATAAAAGCAGTATTTTACAGGGCGTGAAATTAATTTTTTTTTCTGATAACCACTTGGCTCCTAAATTATTCAAAGTGGTAGCCAATTCAAAAAAGTTGGTCGCCATTTACAAACAAAACCTTTTTTTAATGCTGTCAACGTTCTGGATAGACCCTTCAAAATTAAATCAGGAAAAAGATCTTCAACATGCTACAGCGTAGACACTAAAATGGATGTTATACTACCTTCAAGCTCACCTAAATCCAAGATGGCGTCTAGTTATCGATCAAGATGCATGTGTTGCGTTTTGGAAACAAACTTAATGAGGAAGTTTGCCGCGGATTTATCTCTGCTGATCTTTTAAATTCTCCATATCTCTAAGTAAGGATGTGATAAAGCATTCTAGTCGCCAATTTGGCGCCTAATTTTCAGGATTTGGTCGCCAAAGTGAAAATTTAGTCGCATTGGCGCCTGTAGTAGGCGTAATTTCACGCCTAGCAGTAATGTGATAATATTGTTACCATCAACTTAGTGACATATCACCAACCGTCAGCTGTCTTTTGGCCAACTGTCAGCCAACAGGTGAGCTTAAAACTGTCGGTCGACAGACAACTAACAGGATTTTTTAAGGAAGTTGTCGTAGTCGTAGTAGTTCGTAGTAGGTAATCTTTTATTATGCCATTTGTGTATCTTTCATCCACGTGCTGTGCGCATAACACGTATGTAGCTGTACGGTAATCTTCCCCTGAGTAACTTCAGTGATACTGCTTCAAAAAATTGCTCCCACTGTTTAAAAGTTGGGTTCAGAAGGGAACTAAAAGAAATGGTCTAACATACATGTCACGAAGAGATCCGAACTTCTCATCATCTGGCCGCGATTTCCTTTCTAAAAAAAATACCATCAGTGATCAACCCAAAGTGGCTTACCTTGAATCTAATGAGGTATCCCTCCCCACTGACGCTGTTTAGCTTACTCAACAGGAAAACGTTAAAAGATACTAACAATATGACAAGAAAACCTAAAAACGAAATTAACCTAATTTTGTTGCACCGCATTAGCAATCATGAGCTCTCTGTACAGATGCAGCAAGGACTTGGCCACTATAGTTAACGGTATTGACAATGTATCGCGTCGGCAAATTGATTTTGTGATTCAAAATGTTTTAAATGTTATTGTACCTCTAGGAGACGAAAATTGCCGCCATTTTGAAAATTTTACCACAATACACCGGGCACTTGCCAAGATACACCGCTGACAAGATATGTTACTTTGTAACGTGAGTAATAGATTGGCTGAATAGAATAAGTTAATTATCCTTTCACAGTTTTACTGCAAATTTCGACGAGAGAAATTGAAATTGTGATCTTGAATCTTCCCTTTACGAAAACAAATTATGTAGTATTTTTGAAGCATATTTCGCCTGAGGAAATAAATTGTATGGTGGTACTCAGTCTACACGCGCCATACCGGAAATTCATTCATCGTTGAGTAGTTGACGGTCGTCCACGGTCTTTTGGAGCGGAACTCTCTAGAGAAGAAATATCTGCGGTGCTTATGAATTAGGGGCGGTCTAACGAACGACTTATCGACAAAGATATTCTGAGTAGCTTTCGTGGGAGCTCTTTAATCCAGGTAAGAGAACAAGTCATTCTTATGTGAAAACTTCGATGTTGTCAACTCTGTGAAAGGAACGAAGCAAGGTGGTCTTGAGTTTCGCTCGTTATTTGTTGTCATAGCGCTAGAAAGTTCTTTAGACGTATACAGAGTAAATTTGTATATCTGTCGAAAAGGCTGGCTTGTTCAAAATATGTCTTACGGACCCTGTTTCAAAACCTCATCCTTCGAGAGGAAACGGTTTCCGCTGACTGCAATGTTACCGTAAATTTTAGAATTCTACTGGTAGATTTGTCATTTTGACTGGGTTTTGCTTGTCTTTTGGTGATTGGAATGAACGTTTTATGATGTTAGATACCTTTTTTAACGAACAAAAATTACGCCAACCATAAGGTTGAGTTGGCGTATTATTCTTGTTTCTCCATTTCTTCCTCGTGTACACCTGGCCAGCCAGCTAGTTAGCCACGGCGGATATTTATAGACATCGACCTGTTTATATCAGAAGAGATTAGTTTATTTCATTCTACAGTTGATATTGATCCACGAAAGAAACCACAGCAACAGTTCTGAGTACTTGGTGAGCGCAATTAGTACATAGAACCAATACGTAAATTTTATTCTGGGCTGATAATTTATCGCCGCGGAATGTAACCAAACATGTCAAATGATTGCGGCGTGATTTGTTTCGAATCTTCCTTTTTGTCCACGAACTAATGACGTTTTGTAAGCTAAAGAATTTCATCGTCACAATTGTTTCGGGTGATAATCCGATAATGTTATTTTTTTTCACGCAGATAAGTACTAGAGCAATTCGGACTTAATTTTTCATGAAGTGAGCTATGTTTTGTGTACGATTACAAACCACCGTTCTTGATTACTGAGGTTTTAGTTTTCTTTGTAATCAAATCTTTTTGTGTGTATTTTTTTAACATTAACACACTTGGGGATCGTGTCTGATTACTTGCGATCGACATTAATTTGTCTTCCCGAATCACACTTTTCGCACGACAACTTTCTGTCCTTGTTTGAAGTTTGTTTTAATAAGAACAAGGTCGACCTCTCCGTCTGTGCGAATAGTTTTGTTTCAGGTTGTTTGCATTCTTTTCATTCGTGTAATAACCTATTTATAGTTTCTGCGTGTTGCAGGGACCACAAAGCCGTGTTGTTCAGTTACAAAAACACTACTAACGTCAATCGCATATTTGTGATTCATAAACAACCTTGTATCGTAAGTAAGAGGTTGTTTCGAAAATGGCAGCATTTCCATGGCAATTTTCCTTTGAAAAGATTAGGTTATGAACTGTATGCAAAGTCTTTTTGATTGTGCACTCAAACATTAATACTTTCGTACTACTCTTCATCCTCGCAGTAAAATTTAACCTCTACTTGTTAATTCTGATTGGATTGTACATTAGCAATGTGCATGATAAACAAATATTTAACATTTCAAATGTCTAGAAATTCTTTTATTTTGACTGGATCTAGCATTGCAATCAGTTGATGTTGATAATTGTTTTTTTTTTTTTTAACAAATCTGTTCTCATTTGTCTTTGTCCTTTAACATCTCTAAATATGTAATGCAATTAAATCCAATGACAGTAGAAAGAGGAGAAAATCACTGTTTTTTCTGCGTCAGTATTTTAAGGGCAGGTTATGTGGCTCTGTTGCTACTGTATACATTTGTAACTAGGCTCTCTAATTCACAACACAAACATGTAGAAGAAATATGTTAGGAATCAAAAATATTGATCTTTGGATCAAGGGCGCTTAACAGATAAAAGATATTGCACTCAAAGTTTATCCATGGTAACATTGCATACCATTAACAACAGTTTTTTAAATGAAATTGCCAAGGAAAATGGCTAAATAGCAAAATAATCACAACATCTTGGATAAACTTTTCACAAAGACTGTTGTGCACTAGTTAACATTATTACCTTCAAGCCATATGATCGTTAACTCTACTGACTGATCATTCATGGTGGCCTTGCAATTTGCTACTTGATATGTTTAATTTCTTGATGGCACTGTTGGTGGTGTGGAGCACTTTGCTCCAGAGCAGAATCTCTCTTTTGCTCTTTGACCTCTTAAGAGTGACCAGCATCTGATTTCTCCTCACAGTATCACCCCTTAATCTGACATACTTAAGTCACAAGAACAAAGGAAATGATCGCATACTTAAGAATTTTGTGATTTTCTTTAAGAAATTCTCCTCTTCTTTACCATAGGAAATGTATAGAGTATGGAGAATATACTTAATGATGTAGATGTAATATCAAGGTTGCTGATTTATAAAATAGCTATGGCAATACTATTTAGGTATCTGAGAGTGTAAATAATATATTTTAGACTTTTTACCCTTCTGATATCAATGATTTGTTAAATATCATCTCTTAGGTACAATAAGTGATCAATGAATGGTGATATTGGACGAAGAGGTGACTCCAGTCCCACTGACAGTGGAGTAGACACGCGTGAGTGGGAGGAAACACACAGAGGTGTGTATTATATTGAAAATTATAACTACTGAAGATTATTGTCTTTATTCTTGTCATAATACCATCATAATCAACGTCATCATCATAGTCAACAATCGTTTATTCAAGAGTAACAACACTATTATCATCATTATTGTTATAAACAAAAACAACAACAGCAACATTATCATTATCTTCATCATTATTAATCATCATTACACAAATTTTACCTTTACAAAAATAATTGATTTTAACCCTTAGCTAGCCACTTATGTTGAGATATAACAATTCTCCTTTCTAGCTGCAATCTAGCTTTCCTTGTAACTTTTTATAAGATGAGATGATGTCTTATCAAGGTAACAATCCTCTATACCTTTCTATGCCTTTACCTTTGCTGGTAGAGATCTTGCAACTTAAAAAAGTTAAAGGGATTTAGTGTGTTGAACGTGTTGCTAAACTTCAATAAGAATCATTGTTGAAATTTTTGAACAAGGTTAAGATTTTTCTACAAAGTTGTCTCATATCAATTTGTACATTGGAAACTTAAAGGTGTAGTTTAATTTCTTACAACTACTTAGGGTTGATACCTAGCAGTAAGAACTTGTGTTGAGAAGAATTTGACCAATTGAAAAGGCTTCCCTGCATAATAATCAGTTATATGTTTTTTTTTTATCTAGAATGATTATTGAAAATAAGTAGCATGCTTGGCTTAGGATATTTGTCATGAGTGTTTCTTTTTGGGAATTAGAATTTCAAAAGAATGGGAAAATGTAAGAGCATAATTTCCTTGGAATGAAACAAAGTAGAGTAGAAAGGTCATAAAAAATGCTAGTCAAGGTTGTTTCATGTATCATATGAACAGTTTACTGACGAACATTGAAAAATGAACTTTGCAAATTATTAGGCATTAACAAATATGATGGAAAATTTTAGTAAATATTTGTGGACACCTGCTGTTGCCAAATGTATTGAGCAACTTTATAGTTATAGGAAAAAACCTTCCTTGCTCCAAAGGTAATTAATTTTTGCTTGTCACTTAAGTTTAAGTGGATAAGCACTGTTCTGAACTTTGGTTTTCTGGTATGTTCTGTCATTTTTAAGACATAATCTATGCATTGATTGCACTTTCCTTGCTGGATTCTTTGCAATTTTTCTTTTCATGCTTTGGAGAAAAGTGACAAAAAGCCTTTGTTTCTTATGACAATTAAACTACTGAAGCGATGAGTATTCTTTTAAGGAAAGTCAATTAAATCATGGTAGTCTATGTGGATGGAACTCACATGCAAAAGTTCTTTGGCTTTTGAGCATAAGTATAGGGACATTTTTGTCCCAAACTTTTCTGCTAATCACTGCCAATTAGGTATATTTTGAAGTATTGAAATTACACCTTCTCTGTAGCTGTTTATAGGGTGTATTGTAGCTTTGAATTATATGGTTAAAGCTATCAGCATAATTGTGGTTGAGTTAAGTAAATTGTGGTCAGGTTTTTTCAAAGTTATTTTAATTTACTTATTGAAATTCTTTTTTTTTTTTCCTTTTTCTCTTGAACAGGACCAAGGATGGTATGTTCACTTGTTTTTCTTGAAGTTGTAGTTACACCTAATTGCAATAACATTATCAGAGAAAAAATAAAATTTAAAATAAAGAAAGATTCATGTTAAGTAGGAATTTATTACGCTGAACTATTGGCTTGAAGTGACTCCCCTGCAGTGACACTTTCTTTTAAATTTCCATAACCTTAAATTCAATTTTTGCAAGTATGACTGTTCACAACTGTATTCAACACCATTCTGCTCAGTGTGTTTTGCAAGATCTTTCTGTTTTTGTTTTTTTTTTTCTGCTAGATTGGCATGCCCTATCTTGCAGAGATCCATATCAGTTTAAAAATTTAATTACATCCTTGATTAGACACCACGGATCAAAGCAAAATTACAAATGAATGCCGCCATCAAATAAATGTTGGACCCAGTGAGAAGGAAAGTGCTGCAATCAGTTAGAAGTATGCAGAATTTATTTTGGGACTTTTAGGAAAAATAGCAAGATGGTGCAGTGCTACTTAAAAATCAACAAAATTTCCGAATATTGTACACCTTCCAAGCCAGACAAATACAACACTATCTCAGCCAAACATGGAATACATAATGAACTGAAATATGTTTTGTCTTAGTTGATATTCCTAAATGTCTATTCTACCATACTTGTCATCAGTGATTTGAAATGAATACTTTCCTTGTGTTGAAAGACCATTAAGTTAAGCATTCTATATTTTTTTTAGTCATTAGAACCCTACAGTTTTGGAAGTGACTCTTCCTGGTCAAATCTAAATGGGGTTGATGCAAAGAAAAAGTAAGTTATGGGCTTCCATTGATATTTGTAATCACTAATGTCTTAGATCTTCTTTCTAAAATCAATTACACAATTTGTAAAGGCTTTAACATGAACACAGCATCATTCAAGTGTAGTGATGAATTGAAAATTTTGACAGTGTGCAAAGCACAGAAATTGACAGAAATTATGATTTCACTTCACAATCCTCCATAATTTTATAATAGCATTTTCTCCTGGTTTCCTACTAATTTAAACCATTTTGAAGTCATTTAGAGGCTTTAGAGCTTCATTCCCAAGCTCTCTCCTTTCATTAAGCCCTCCAAAATTGGTGAGCATTAAGAAGCGGAACAAAAAGAGTTGAATGAGCCCAAACTCAGAGATGTCAAGCACAGATTCTTTCATCATTTGGACTTCAACCACCTAGCAATTGTGCAAGGCAGTGATAAGTTCTATGACTTTTTAGACTCAAGAAAGAAAACTCTCACAAAGCAAGAAAATCTGTCACATTTGATTTATCACCAATTCATCTGTAAGCCAAACTATTTGAGATTTAGTTACTTATTGTCAATTTGGAGAAATCATGATTTCTTGTTGTTAATTTTTATTAGGTAATCTGTCAGACAAAAAAACCTAAAAAACCTAAAATAAGTTCTGGCAAGTTTGATGGCTCTTGATTTTCACCATGAACATGAACAGTGTTTATCTGGTTGCTAATATGTTCATGCAGCTTTAAATTTCCTGGAAGAAAACAGGAAGTCTGAGTTGTAAAATCAAAACCAACAGAATCCCAAATGGCCTATCAGAATTTAAAAGATAATACTCAAGCCTAGCGTTCTAAGAAGAATTTGTGTTATAATCAAGAGCTTCTAGTTGGTGATCATTTCCTGTACTCTCCTGACCTTACCGTGTGATTCAGGGGTGATAATGAGAGGAGAAATTAGATGCTAATTACTGGTAGGAGACAAAGGTTTTTGGTAAAACCAAATAAACCTCCTGATGAACATGATTGAACATGTGGCAAGTTTAAACTATTGGGAAATTAAGAAGAGTCCTGTATGGGACGCTCATGAAAATCTGAAAATGATTGTATATTATTTATAAATTTTACAAAAAATCAACCATTTAATTGATATGGGGAGAATTATTTGACTCCAAAGCTGTTTATCTGTGAATTGCAATGAGGTGAATTTAAAAATTGTACTTGCCTGATTTCATTTACAGTGGTTCAGACAAGGGAAAGCCTCAAACTTTAGTAAGTACTGAATTAATTCTGATGAAAGTGAGCTGGCTCTTGTAACATTTCAATGTCAACAGTCTTAAACACTTTTTCTAGAAAATTCAGTGATCTTTCATGTAGGGCAGAACTTAGCCCTGAAACAGGCTCAAATGATTTTGTTGTGATTGTTTTCTTTTAGAACAATAATGTTGATCCAGGAAGATCTCCCAAGAACTCCCCTAAACTGGGATCACATGATGGTAAGGATTTACACATTTGTACAACTGGTGTCCTGAGAGTTGGACAGAATGGATCACTTACCTGCTGCTTGTGAGAGGATATCATCTCAAATAGTAACTCACTACTTTCCAATGTGGAACTTCTGAAAAATCATTTGTATTGAAATATAATCATCTGCTTTCACCATCAGATCAAAAGAAGCCTGTTCAAGCTGCAAGTCAGTTTCTTGCAAGAACAAATTTCCTTCTGGAGGCATGTGCTTTTAGATCTCTCTTCTTTCTTCTTGTTTCTTCATTTCTCTCCCTTGTTCCTCATGTAGTATTAATATTCTTAAGGCAAAGTCTGCATGGAGAGGTATTAAAAAAAATGAACTTGATAAGTGGGGACATTAAGTGTTGTAGACAATAATGTAATTAGTTTTGAGTCAAAAGTGTTGATCTGTTGGTACATATGCTTCATTTAGAATTAGCTTAAGAGGGCCCAATGGGCTCCGAGCTTTATTTTTTTTTCCTTTGGAGGAGGAGGGGGGGGGGAGCTTTTTAAGGAAGGGAGTACAAGAAAAGGTAACCCCAAAAGGTATTAGAACTTTTTTAAAAGTCCAATCAGCAAGAAAATGAAGATGAGAAGGCAATTTAGAAGGTCGGAGGCTATGAAGTTGGAAGTGTGTTTCATGTAGCAACTGCTAAATCAATCTACAGGCAGTTGTAAGTTATGTTTTCAAATACCTTACATCAAAGGAATAGAACTAAAAAATAGTACTTATCCTAAGGCCCAAATTTTTGGTGCCCCATTTGATAAGTTTTAAGCATCATTTTTCTCAGAATGAGGGGAATTTTGCTAAGCTACCCTCTGGAATAAACTCAGAGTATAAGCTCTTACTAAATCTTTGTAAAGAATGGGGTGAGGTTGAAATGATCTGGGTTTTGTACTGCTGTTTGATAAATAAAGCAATTCTGCATATTTTTCTGCAGCATCTTTCATCCTTCACCCTAAAGACAGCACAAGAAGCACAAGTTCCAGCAAAGGAGAGACTTAGGCAAACTAAGGTTTAGTTTACATCGAATTTTTGCCTTTAATATATGTACTGATTTTTACCTAGTTTCCAAGGAAGTTAAGAATCAAAGGAAATTTTCCTAAGAAAGAAAATATTAATGTCAGCTCTTAGCACTATTGGGAAAATTTAGAAATAAGAGTGAAAAAATTCACAATTGACACATGTAAGTTGAATGATGACCAAGTTGTATTGAGAGTGAAAATTAAATTTTGTTAAGATTTTATGATTACTTGACGTTAACCCTTTACACACTTTAAACATCAGTATGGACATTTTGCATACTGTTCTCTATAGATTTCTTGAGGTATCCACAGGAAGAATTTGTTTTAAGTAGTCAGTAGCTTTTGTGATCATTTCCTTTGTTTCTGTGACCTGAATTTTTCATTCAGGAATGGTACTGTAAGGAGAATTTAGATGGATCAGGAGTTGAAGGGTTCATATTCTATTAGTACATGAGAAGGGCTCTATCAGGATGTTCAAGATCCTTTTTCTTGCAGGAATTGTTAGCAAAAGGGAACCAGTGGACAAAAGAGATGGAGATGAGATTGACAGACACTGATGTGGTGCTTTTAGATGGGGAGACACAGGTCAAGATGCAAATTACCATAACTTGTTTTGATATGTAATATATTAGAGATCGTTAAGAATTCTGTATTCAGCATTACTTCATTTCATTCGAGTGAACTTGAATAGAAGACAGATATTCTTTCAGTATTTGCTCATTTTTTTCCCCTGAAGATTTAAACTGTACACATGCATTTCTCTGAGATGCATTGCATTCAGAATGCATTTAAAATAAAGAAATGTTCTGGAACGGCTCAGTTGAAAATTCCATGAATTTGACTTCCACATGTATTCCTTCTTGAAAAGTTTTTCCTCGTTGGCCATGAAGATACTGCAAGTTAAAGCTTTGTTGTGGTACTGTGCCTAAGCATTTTCTTAATATGCCTTTCTAATTTTGACCATGTTAAACACATGGACAAAATAGATCATGTTGGATTTCATAAAACACATAAAAGTTGCAGTCATTTCTTCTTGTGATACAGGAAGGGTTGTATAAGGAGGTGGAAGTGTACAACTTAGTTGGATATTGAACCTTGCTTGAGAGAATCTCTTTTGTAATGTTGTTTTTCTTCTTCTTTCACGCAGGATGTAGTAGAAGTGTTTTCATTGAACACTGTAGGCCATGTACATCATTTTAGCGATGACCCTGACCTAAACAGTGTGTTAGTATTTAACACTCTGCAAACAGAGAATAAGTTTGCTGCTATGCATCTGTTTCAGTCAGACAGGGTTCCGGTATGTAATTTGTAACTCACAATTCTGTACTAAAATTAATGGTAAAGTCTGTAATTGAATTATTGGACATCATCGGTCTAGATTGCACTTAAGTTCTCTGTAGCTCATTTTTTTTTTTTGCTTTTGAATAGGCTGCTGTTGTTGCAACTGAAATTATGAAAGCATCGAGTAGCAAAGCCGTAAGTAGTCTTTTTGCATTATTTAAATCGTTAAAAAGAGAGAGCGTATTTAACGTGTCTATTGAGGATAATTATAAGGAAAATCGACTCGACGATTTCTCTCACTCGTAAGTCTAGGCTACAGGTGGGAACCGTTTTTGGGTTTTTCTTGAGAGCCCTATAATTGCAGACAATGTTATTCTTTTAAAAAAAAAGGGTATTTCAAGTGAGTGAATAATAATTATCACGAGATGGCGAATGAATCTGATTTTTTAAATCTCTTAGATCACAAGTCACTATTCTTTTTTTGTTAAACTATTACATGTAATTAATTTAATTTCTTAGAAATAACAAGAATCATTTTTTTTTGTAGGCAATGCCAAACAAATTTGCAGCAAAAGGAGGCGCCATACTACCCCCACCCCCTACACACCCAGCGCCCCCTCCCCCCACGGTAAAGATTTCTTCATTGTTCTATCAGTCAGAATCTTGTAAAAAATTATTTCGTGTTTTTGTCTGAAAAGATTATTTATAAATGAAGCAAAGCTAAGGCCTTTCCTTATTATTCACGGTTTTAGGGGGTTGACCAGGAGAGATTAGATTTGTATGGAAAGTCACTTGTGGCACAAACGATTGCAGCCTTCTCAGCAGCCGTGTCTGATACCAGTCCGAAGAAAACTGGAAAACCACAAGTGTCATCAAGATACCAAGCGGGAGAAACATCCTCCGATGTTCCAGACGAAACACTGTCTGCGGAACTGTTGGAGGCGAGAACAAACAGAGATGTGGTAAGAGACAATGATTCATGTCAGTAGCTAAGAAACTGCTCACCTACCCCTCCCCTAACCCAACATTACCTAACTTTTTATCAGTTGGCTGTTATTGGGTTAGGGGAGGGGTAGGTGCGTAGTTACTGAGATGGTGACATTGATCCCATTTCATCAAGGATAAAATGTTTGAAGGAGAATTATTTCAAAACTCGAGAAATCATCTCAGAGTTAGTAACATTTAAAATTTGAAGCTTATCGTGTCTAAATCTCACTGAAATATTCGCTATTGCAAAACGGCCAACTTCCTGAGTGGCGAAATTGCTAATGTACTCGTACTTTCTTTTCAAAATTTCTAACTTTTAACATCGTGTGGCCGAGAGAATTTAAAATGTATTGGACTGAAAAGTTCAGAGACGGCTAGATATGTTCTATATTTCGATTATGTAATACCATTTGTAGCTTGATAGGAAAATGAAGAGCAAGAGCTAATGAGCAAAAAACGTAAACAAAGACTTCCTTACAGCCACAGGTTTGATGCCTTAGGAGATTTAAAACCCTCCCTCCTTTTTTCCCTCTCCCCCTCTCCCCCCGTCCCCTCCTCTCCCTCCCTTCCCCCCTCCCCCCTCCCCCCCGCTTACTGAGGTTGCAGATCAGTAAATAGATGTAACCTGGATGATATTGTGCTCTGTAAAAGAGCTTGGAAAAATAAAATGTATTTTATAACGCTCGATCAGTAACTACGCAAAGTGGCAAGAGGCAAATCTTTCCAGTTTAGTTGCTAATTTCAGAAAAGAAAAGAGCCTAATATTAAATTTGCTTATTTTAATTCTAGCAAATCTTGAACCACTGTATAGATGATATCGAGAACTTAGTTATGAGAACAAAGAGATCGGCTGAGGCCTGGAAAAAGCTGCAGAAAAAGAAGGGAAAAGTTAAACGTAAGTTAGAATCTTAGATCAGTGCACCTCGATCTCAAATGTTATTCTTATGTCAGTGACATCTTTTTTACGAATACTTTTTGTCATTGTAATGCCAACAGAAAGTTCTTTGTCACTTGAAGCGCGCCCGCCGCCTGAGGCTGAATTCTTTGATGCATTTCAGAAATTAAAACATGCCTTGATCTTGTTGGTAAGTCGTCTTCAACATTATCTTAACTTGTTAGTTGTTTGTGTTCCTTTTAGTATAACGTGGACACCATGTCACGTTGCCTTGTTTGCGTGGCGTGACAAAGTTAGTTCTTGTGACTAAGCGGACCATGGATCGTCAGACCTTCGTTCTGACGAAGGGTTATTGCTCAAAACGTCAGCTTTAGAAACTCTCTACGGTGACTAATTTTCATTATCAACTCAGTTGATAAAATAAAATTATCTCGTAGTACCCCCACCAACGCAGCAACACACTTTCTTTAGAAACTTACCCCTCCCCCCTCCTTCATCATGGATGTTGTAAGCAATTGTAAATAAGTAATGAAAATACTTTTATATTAGATTGGTTTCCTACACTTCGCTTAGTGTCTGCTTTACGAAACTCGCATTACCATTTCAACCAATTAGATGTAAAGCTGAAACACAGTTGTGAATTTCATTGGCTCTCTTTTTACGGTTTCCTTTTTGCTGATTGGCCCTCGTGATTAGTCTGGCTTAGGTCATTCAATTCTCAATCAGAATGCGCCATAAAAATACTTTAATTTTCTCTTACACAGGGCAAGCTGAGGCAACACATTCACAATCCTAACGCAGCTGAATTGGTTCACTATTTATTTGTTCCCCTTTCGTTGTTGATTCGCTGTACAGGAGGGTAAGTGGTATCTTTCATTTTCTTCGCTTAATTATCGCGCAGGCACTTGTGCTAGATAAACGGTCAACAAACACAGTAGGTTTTATTTTGATTTCGAAGATATCTACTCCGATGATCAATTTTTCCTTAGACATGATTTCTGTTGTAAGGCCCACTTTATCTTCCTAAATTCTCTCGTGGACAATTCCTTTCGTGCGGAGGTCGCCAGCTACTTATTTCAATTGGTATTCACCGTCTGACTCTCTTCTCTTCTGCCAGATAACGTGAATTGATCACGATATCTTGGTTTTCGGGATATAAATTGGTGTGATAGTTTATGATTATGAATTTTTTTTTTTTTCCAGCCCCGAGAAGGCCAGAGCAGTTATTGTGCCTCTGCTTACAACTCAAACGATAGACTTGCTACAGAACTGTCTCTCCTCAAAGGAAACCGAATTATGGATGTCTCTAGGACCCAACTGGACGATGCCAAAGTATGTGAAGCTGTATTCCTAAGTAACTTCTTAAAATAAATAGAAATTAAGGAGGAACGTTGTGATGAAAACATTTTCGGTGATATCCTGTAGAGGAATTCCTATATAGAGCTGTTACTACCGTACTGTTGTAAGTGATTGCAAGTTGACCCAGATATCACTCGAGCAATGATTGGTCAAAAACCAGGAAAACTTGAAAATATTCGATTAATTGATTAAATGATTGGTTGGTTGACAGATTGATTACGAGGAAGTAGCTTAGGGAATTACGGGGCACGTGACCCCTCCTCTCTGTTCGTTATGAACTAATAATGAATAGCAATTTTCGAGATGCGCACAGCCTTGAAAATGATTTAGCTTTCTTTATTTACAAGAAAGGTTTTGCATGTGGCCTCGTTTTGAAAGTGAGGGTATTTAGAACTTAGCAGTGGCCTTTTGCAGCACCAAAGGATCGTGCAATGCTCCTTTTCCCCCCTTCCCCCCCCCCACCATCCACAAAATAAACCCTATCCCTTCCCCTGTTGAAAAATCTTGCCTACGCCCATGAGTAGGTGGATAGATTGATTTGTTTTTCCCATTTCCCTAATTTTTCAGGTCAAGCAAACAGTTCAAGGATCAGTTTATCGCCCCATACAATCCTGTGTTCAAGGACGGTTGGGTTCCACCTGAAGTGATCGCTGGTAAAGATGTGTCCAACCTTAGTGCCGCTATTGCTGCTAATGCTGCCGCTGTGGCCCAACTCAATGATGGATCCAGAAAAGTACGTCAAGTGATTGAAGAAACGTCTCAACGCAGAAACTTTTAATCATGATTTGTTACCATTTTGGTACCATTTTGTTGTTGAAACAAACTGTGCCTTTTACTGAGAGAGTCAAGATTCTGTCTTGTTATAAGGGATCTCTTAAAATTTCAGAGAGCTTTATGGTGAATGCTTTGTTGCTTAATCATAGGGAAGTTAGTTCCCTTGATGGCTCCGCTGGAAAAGTGATTGCTTCGATTTCCCTTAGTCGGGTACTACTTTCTATGCCTATTGCACAGAAGATGGATGAAAATCATTTTTGCGGGGTGATTTGTTTTGTCTGTTTTTTTCTAGGGAGATGATTCTGCTGCAAACCTGGCCAATCCAGCGGTGCTATCAGCAGCAGCCAAGTTCAGAAGACTAGCAAGTTTGAAAGAATCTTCAGAATCACCGCTATCAAGGTAAACAACTGTGACTGTTCCATTGATGTAACAGCGAACTCTGCTGAAACTGATAACGTGCGTTGATAGGAAAGTTTCTCTATTTTTTTACTTGAGTTCCCTATCGGCTCTTTAAAATTACTTTTGGCTGCTCTAACAACTTTGGTTTTCAAGTCATTCTTAAAGCGCTCTAAAAAAATTGTCTTACTTTGTAAAGGCGAAACCTAAACACGATAGTCTGCTCGTTGGCTGATAATCAGCTTTTAATGAAACTCTTGTTATCTTTGTTATAGTCCGCCCAAGAAAGGCCTGAGAAGAGTGCGCGTCCTTTACGATTTTCAAGCAAGAAACAGCAAAGAACTGACGGTTCGCCAGGGAGAAGAAGTTTCGGTAAGAATTGATTTTTTCCTCTTTGCATACATTTAATGGCGCCTAGGAGATTCTATGAAACACCTTGGAAAACTAGTGTACTCATTGAACAGACTGTTCCTAAGTTATGTCAACAATACCTACGCCCTACAAACGACTTGCTCACTTAAAAAACATAACCAACAAACGTAACACACCCAACAGAACGATTTAATTATAACAAAGGATAACTTGTGCAAGTCATTCTTTCCGTTAACGGGACGGGACACTTGTGCTGAGGTGACTCGTCCCGAGCCTTGTTAACTTCCTGCAGACTCGGAAACTTTGAAAAGCTGATCATCAGATCTAAAGTAACGTATCACAGCTTCACTTGCGTCGTATAGCCAATAATGTCGGCGCAAAACTGATCAATCGGTTTTCACAAACTAGACCTGAAACGTTTGAGTGACAGATAAACAACTCCTCCTTTATCTCTGATGATGACTTCCGCTCAGGTCGCCGTGGAAAAATAAGCCGTTCTCAAGGACGACAGTCCTTTTAAGAACTACCCTCCCCTGGATGATCACTAATCACGATCAAATGTCCAACGAGTTTTGATTGTCAAGTATAATTGGAAAGTTTAACTGCTTCTAAGTAAAAAGAGTAGTAAGCCATGAATTGAAGCGGGATTTTAATGTTTGGGTTTGGTATAAATATAGGTTCTTCTTGATAGCCGCCAGTGGTGGTGCGTCAGAAACTCTGAGGGCTCCATAGGCTTTGTACCGAGTACAATTGTGGAAGAAACAGGTGAAGTATTTTATGTTGTGACCCCTCAGTGTCGAAGTGGTAGTGACCGAACGGGTAATAAATATGCGTTATTGACCAAGCGTGAGGTCAAGATGGTTGGATAATGGCCGAGTTCTTATTTGTCTATCTGACCATTTGAGCATTTTTTTTTTCTTTTTCGGTTTAATTTTGAATACTGAAAAATTGCCTACGTTAAGATACGTCACAAAGTATTGCATTATCAGTTACTTTACCTACAGTTTTCAAGGTCGAACGGGTACAATCCATCCTACGGGTTCTTCTTTCCTTTTCCTTTTCCTTCGTAAAATCCCCGCTTGATTTCACCATTCTCTCCCTTTCGCTATCCCCGTGTGACGAATTCCAGCAATAGTTTGAACACTGGAATACTTGGCTGTAGTTCGCTTTTCTCTGTAATTAGCCTAGAAAACTCGCGCCTCCCTCTTAATACTAAATCAGTGAATACTTGCGCTGTAGTTTTGCTTCCCAGTCCTCCGACAACGGCTCCTCCACCCATACCAACAGCGCTGGTTACGTCATCGCAGACACTGGTAAGTTGCCTTTAAGTTATTTGGACCTAAGATACTTAGAAACACACACAAAATCATTCAACAAATGAAACCTTTTTTTTATCAGATCGGTAGACGCTAGGAAAAACCTGTTCTTCGTTCGCGTACTGACGATAAGAATTTTGTCTTTTTTTGTTGTTTTTTTTTTTTGACATTTTCAGGTACAAAAACCTGATACAGCAACTGGCACAGTGTCAGAGAGTCCAAAGATTCCTCATGTGGAGCTACGACCTGTGGGAATATCCAAGCAGAACAGGCCCGTATCTGCACCTCCCTCGCATATGGTGATAAACCCAACCGTGCCCACAAGCCAACCCCCTTCCACCTCTCCCTCAACTACCTCACCCCCTCCAACAGTAATCTTGAAGACGGTGAAAGAGAAAGAGAAAGAGAAAGGTTTGTGAAAAGTTTCTTGATGCCTTCCGTCTGATAGGAGTAATGTAATGGTGTGCGCGCCCTGGGAAATATAATAAACCCTGAAATTTTCCAATGTTTGCTTCGCAGTCCGTTTTAATGTTCTCCATTTCCGACCATCCTTGTTTCCTCTTAGTTCGCAGCCGACTCTTCGGCGTATATCTCTGTTCCCATGCTAATTTTTACCTTTCCTTAATTGAAGACATTTTTTGCTCAAAAATGATTTAAAATACGTAGCTTGCGACCAGGCTCTCGCTACACAGCGGTGCAAGCGTCGAAGCAACGAGGGATGAGCTGGCCCATTTCTCGCGGCTTTACCGCTTGTTCTGCCGCGCGGTGCCAATGAAAGCTCGCTCGTTATCTACTCGTTGCTTCTTATTGTATCATCTTACTTTTCAAACTGAAATTTTTACTTGGGTGGAGAATTGTGTCAAACACATGCATGTTTTGGTTTTCAGAAACCACGCCTGTGGCTACAGACTTTACCAAGGCCATCCAAGCAAGAAATCTGAAAAAAGTTGACCCAGAAGAGGAAAAGAAAAGACGCGAACAGGCTCAACAGAACAGAAGTGAGTGTAAAGTTTTGTTTTCCTTTTAACCCTTTAACTCCTGCAGTGACCGAAAAAGTGAGTCTTGCATAACACTTTAATATCTGTATCCATATTCTTCATATTACTCTCGACATATCCTAAGTTACCGACCAGGAAAATTTGGTGACCAATCATGAGCTCCTTTAGTAGCAGTGATGATCAATTCCTTTATTCTCGTCAATTTGATGTTTGATACGGGGGAAATTAGATATTAGTCACTCTCAGGGGTTAAAAGCATAATGATGACAAGATATTTCAAGATATATGTGACATGAAATGTATATCAGACAGTGAAAAGTGATACGTAGTTCTTGGGAGTGAAAGGGCTCTGAGCAACAACACGAACACAAGAATCTTCCATAAGGAGGACACGCAGCTCGCACGTGCATGAGGTGTGACTTCTGCGTGGAGGTACGAATTGCGTGTGAGGCTCTATTGACTAGCCGCTGTACGCGGCCGGATTAGAGAAAAAGTCGGAAATCGAGCCTTATGTTGGGAACGAGGATCATAGGTTTGGTTCCTTTGTGTCCCGTGGGGCGATCTGGTTACTGATGAAATGTGAAATTGATATATTTTGACTCGTGGAATGTTAGTCATTAAAGAAATTGAGCGTTAAAATAAATTAGGGGATGAAATTATTGTCCTGTTGTTTTCTACACAGTATTTTATGCAATGAAATTCTTTCTCAAGTGAGCAAAAACCGTTTTCTTCCTTCGACAGTGAGCTCAGCAGACATGTTAAACGATGAACTCAAGCGAAGAATGACTCACAGTCAGGGGGGACTCACACCAACAGCCCAACGGAAAGGTCAGGGGTTTTCTTTTTGCCATTGTTCATCTTATTTTTCGTTCTTTCCGCCTTTTTTCGTTGTTCCTGTTCTGTCTTAGGGGAAAGTGTCGCGACATTACATTAGTTGTCCCTTCCCAGTCCTTCAGCCGTCCTACATTACACTGACCTGCTTTCTTTCGAGTGTTCTACTGGAAGTCTTTGTTTAGTTCACGTCTAACCAACCCCTCCCCCTTGCCTCTCTCCTCCCTTAGAGGGAGAGGGTGGCGTGCATTTCGTAGTCCACCGCTTTAGTAGCTTATAGGTAAACTACGTCGTTCAGAGATAATGATTCACTTGCAATATGTTTGGTAACATACTATTCAAACTGGATAGAGGATTGGTGATAAATTTCCTGGAGAAAGGCATTCATATAACGGAAACAAAGTTTTCGGGTGTCACTTGTGTTGTTCGGTTTTCCTTTTCTTCTATGAGTTCCTGCTCGGAATATTTTGTAGTTGGAGAGTCTTTTTAGATTGCTCTTCTTGAGCAGAACGCAGTGAAGCATCTCATTTTTATTGGCCCGCATCTAAACATTAAATCAGCTTTCTCTTTTCCCCTTTTTCTTTCTCCCTCTTTCCCTTCCTTTTCCTTTCTTTTTTCCTCTTTCCTCTTTCCTCTCCCTTAAATAATTTATTTTTCCCATTCTACTGTGACAGACACACCGACCGTTAATCTGACGGCTGATTCAAACGCAAAGCAGGTCAAAGAGTGGTTGAAAAGTAAAGGTTTTAGTGACAGGTTTGTTGCTGAAAATTAAAAGAATAGATATTTTAGACGCATGCTCCTATCAAGCCACTTATAGAATGAAACTGCTGGGTACGGACATAGGTTCCTTTTTAATTTTTATTTTAGCGTTTATTCCCAGTATGATCCATGAAAGACCTAGGTGTGCTGTGGCATTGAAGAAATTTCTCCCGTCTACGAGATTACGTCACCCTTTCTTCACGACAATTTTGGACGATAGAAATCCTACATTACTAACATCTGAAAATAGTTCTCGACATTCAAAACGGAATCATTTTTTCAGAATCAGCGACATTTATTCATAATAATGAACAACCATGGCGGGCCATTCAAGCAATGATTGCTGTGAATGGCGCTGCAATTAGAAAGAGAAGAGAAAATTTGAGGAAGTGTAGGCAACGTCTTGTTCAAGATGTATTACGAAACAAGAGGAGATAGATAGAAATGTTGCCCAATCTGGTGGTCTGATCATCACCACTGTGGGATGGCTTTAGTTCTAATCCAAGACTTCACAGTTTACAATAAGCCTGTTTAATTTGTGTTTTTGTGTGTGTTGTTGTTGTTGTCAGCTGTGTGGCGGCATTGTCTGGCAAGTCCGCTAAAGACATTGAATCTATGACAAAGGATCAGCTGAGACAAGCTTGTGGTGACGCAGATGGATCAAGGGTGTTTAGTCAGTTTTCAGTGCAGAAAGCCAATTGGAAGGTATTTTAAAGATTTTAATGGTAAAAGACGTTTTGCGGTTGGTTCAGACTTGTTTTTCAATTAAGTAAGCAAGTCAATTGCTGAATTACTTTCCCTTTTTCCAACCTTGCAGGTAACAACTAAAGGTTCTGAATTGGCGGTAAGTGTCAGGGGAGCCTTTTGTAGTTTTTTTTTTTTCAACCAATATAAATGCCCCAAATACAACTTGAAGGTCCACAGAGTAAAACAAAAGAGAGACCTTCCTCTGTAGGTTCAACTGCCTTACAAAGCTGTAACAGAAAAATTCTTCCGTACGTGCGTGATAACATTTGAAAGTGAGATTGTTTTATGTGGAATTCTGCTTAGAAGAAACGGTGCAAACTGAAATTAGGATTCGTCTGCGTTGGTTCGCACTACGATAATTGATTCAACTCACTTTTCATTTTCAGTGTCTCCTTCCTGACGTCTCTTGTGTTCGTGTTTCCTCTTGCTACTTGTATCTTTCATTCCTTTCAGCTTTGAGCTGCTCTTGTTCAAAACGCGATCTTTTCCCTAACCAAGCCTTTTTTTTGCTTTTGGGCAGTTTATTATGCAAAAACGAAAGGAACGATCAGAAGAAAAAGAGGTACCAGAGAATGATGGCGAGCTCCGCGTTATCGTAGCCGATGCCAAGGCAGCGGCAGCCAAAGAGGAGACCGAGATCAGGCAAAGAACGTCCAGCACTGGACAGAAATCAAAGAAACCAGGTGCCCCTCCACCGAAACCTCGACCTAAGAGCTTTGCAGAGCCTGAAGTTAAGCCGCGTACAAATAGCCAGACGGACCAGAGTTCACCGCAAGAGATGTCCTTTGACACTGAGTTTATCCCACCCCCACCAGTGCTAGATGCCGAAGATCAGCCGACAAATGACGAAGAAGGTCCGAGGGTAAGTGATCGTTGTTTTGGATTCAGTGCAGGTGACTTTTTTCCTTTCTTGGTTTGTTTTGAATTTGTTCTGTTTAGTTAGTTGTTTCGTTTTTATTTGTGTGCTATATTTTATTCTTCTTCGGGTACTGAATATCTGAGTAAGTTTCAATTATAGCGACCTTTGCTTTAACTCTTTGTCTTTTGTAACGACTTTTTTTTTTACAGGAGAGAAAGATTTCCGTCGAAGATGTCAAAAGTATTATGCAAGAACAGAAGAAACAGCAGGAACTTTTGTTGGTGGGTTACTGAGATTGCTAGCTTTTTAAAACCAAATATTGTGCATTTGGAAGAAGCAGTGGCTGTGATGTGTTTGTGGCCGTTAATCAAAAACAGCCATCGCGTAACCTGGAAGCTTAAGGCACAGCCGTTACAGCCAAACCAACCTTGTTTGTAAATGTATTGTTTTAAAAGATCTTTCCTCATGCATGAAATATTTCAGCGCCTTTCAATAGAATGTAAACTGTTCAGCTCTGAATATATCGTGGCAAAACGTGCCTTACGCAATAGTTGTTCATAACGTGGACCTCTCATTAAACTAGGCTAATATTTCGGACTTCAAAAGAACATGATTAGCCCCTGTTTGTCAAAGGCGTAGGAATGAAAGTGTCTTGCCTTTAAATTAACCACTTTGGCCAAAATGGAGAGAGGGAGAGTGGGGAGAGATAGTTGAGGGTTTTGAAGTGAGGTTGAGTAGAAATCGCCCTTCTAGACATGGCGTTGATGATTTTATTTTGTTCGGAGCAAGAAGTTTGCAAAATTTTCTTTTTATTAAAGGAGTTAACCGTTGTGTCTCTCTCCTCACCAGGAACACGACAAAACGCTTTTCCTGCTGGAGCAGCTTCAGAGACAAAAATTCGAGCTGGAACAACAGAAAAGGGAGTTTGAAGAACAACAGCAGAAGTTGAAGCAAGCCGAGTTACAGGTGTGTTGCGGGACTCCTGTGTCACGCAAGGGTTTCATTAAAGAACGGAATTCTTGTCACACAACGGTGCACACATTTCTATTCTGTAAAGTTATTTAACAGATGTCACGCAGTGGACAAAACTATCCATTCGATTGAGTGATGATTTTATGCAATTGCAAGAAATTCGCACAAGAGATTACACCCCAAGATATTCTCACTTGCATTTCCTATCAAGTGCGTGCTCTACAAAATTCGAAAGTGTTTTTCGTTTTTCTTTTTGAAGGCAGTGTAAGGTATTTATGCTTCGATGCGTGTATCCAGTGTTGGTTTCCTTCGAAGTTTCTGAAACCAGCCAGCAATACATCTCTGGATAAAATGTTGTAGTAAATATCCAGTCGTTCATAGAAAAGTTTTAAGTGAATGCCAAAAACCCTTTTGATTGCCTTAGAAACAACACTTCCTTGCGATTTCATTTTAGGAACAGCAGAAAGAGCTGCATCGTCAAATACAAGCGCAGCAAGATCAACTGAAGGTGAACGAGGACAAATTAGTGCAGCAACAACGCCTGCTTTCCAACTACGAAAACGTGCCCCCGCAATACACTTACGCCCAGATTCCCCCTGTTATGCCCCAGATGCCTGTAATGCCCCTTGCGGGGGTTACAACAGGGGCTTCGGCGTACCTCCCCATGGGGGGCCTTCAACCCGTGTACTCAGCGTACCCTGGTGCGATGGCTCAACCGGGCGTCACACATATGGTGCCTTCCATGGGTCTTCCCTCAGTAGCTCCTACACAGCCGCCTACTCAGGGGTGATGTGGCCGTGAGATGATTTTGTAGGAATGTATTGTATAATCTAGAGAACCGAAATGTTTTCTATTATTTGCTAGACAAAGTGTGAGATTTGTAAAGGGTTTTCTCTCACACTACCGTAGAGAAAGCCGCAGTTCTGATGATTAACGCCATAGGAATAAACAGGCTTTTTCGGTCTAGTAATAATTTCGAGATTTTGTTTGTTATACCAACCAATTAGACATGTCGAAAAATCTGTTACGGCGCTGGCCCTGATAAGCAGGATTGTGCCTTGAAATTAGTAGAAAAGGTGCTACCTGTGTATGAAAATCTTCCCAGGTAGCACTTATGAGGGGAGGGGGTTGGGAAGACAGCGTGGGGTGATGGGATGAGATGGGATGAGATATTTCTCCTCTGGGTTTTAGTTAGTAGACGCGGGCATATTTCCATTCGTTACATACATTCATGCAGTTTTCATTCGTCTTCTCCAGATTTCAATCCGTAATTAAAGTACAAATTAGCCCTCCTAATGTGACAACTGCATTGTGTCTTGCTTAAAGAGCTGTTGTGTGTATGACACTTTGCAATCGTTAGCAATGTCACGTAAGGACTACATTCTATGCTGAGGGCTTTGGTCACGCAACTGTTCCGTGACGCATGTTCATCTTCAAGAATTGTGTACAGCTCGCCTTTGTACATTCATTCACATTGCCTTGTGGTTTAACATCTTTCGCCTCTTTAAGAGTCATAGCAACTCGTTAAGATTTGGCATTATCTAGTTTTTTATGTCCGTTGTCCACCTTAGCGCAATGGCAGTTTACTTCTGATTACTTCTTCAAAGTGTCTTTTTTAGAAGGAATCAAAAGTTTCATTCACTATATACATCGTTCCCCTCTTTCAGCTCAAAACTGAAGATAAATAGCGCGTTATATTTTTGTATAGCCCTTAATGGAGTAGATATCTCTGCCTTTTGTACAATGCGATAGTCTGAAGTCGTTTTGTCTAGCTTTGGATAGATGGTCGAATGCAAATTAAGTCAAAGTATGGTTTTTGTAGCTGTATAGACGTTTTCGGATCAATTGCATTGAAAAAAATATATTTCTGAAAAACCTGCTCACCAGAGTTTTTTAATTTTTTCGTTGTTCTCGTAAAATAGAGGTCGTTTTAAAATAATTGGTACAAGAATGATTTTTCCGAGGAGAGCCAAGCTTGTTGATTTTGCTGTGTGCCCCATGTTCAGCTTATTTGCTGTAGCGAGATTCGTTTGTGAAAAAGTAGCAAATAAGTTAAGAAGAAATGGCAGGAAAAAAAGAGACTGCCGGATTTGGAAAGAAAGACACATTTAGTCACTGTTACAAAAGTATCTTGTGAACCACTTTTTTGATCTGTAAGCCCTGGCCTTTACAACGAGACCAAACACAAAACCTACTGTAGGAAGATGAGTGTTATTTGTTTAAGTTTGAAAATCATTAGGTGTGTTGGCCTCGTTCGTCCGTGGTAAAAGATGTCCTGACAATCAGCGACTGAAGTACAAATGTTGCTCGTATTTAAGTAAACATGCAGATGCATGGATATTTGTGATTATTTACAAAATTAGTGTGATGTACAGAATGAAGAGCTTTTTGCTTTGTATGGCAATTCTCGCTGTATTTACCACTGATCACCATGTAAACTCTCCCGGCTATATTGGGTTTTCTTTATCATTGTAGTTAATTCAAATGAAGGAATGTAGGTTAAACGCAATTTTTGATGTATTAAATGAATATACTTCTTTCTTGTAGCTACACGTGTGATGTCGTGTTCACTTTATGATGAGCTGCCCATAGGGCTCACGAGGGACTGGGTCCAAGTGAACGTCAGACCCTTGCGTCACCCTGACTAGGATCAGTCTCTTTGTCAGGTCGAGGTTATAACTTTTGAATGATAAATCATTCGGTTTTGCGACCAAATGCCCGACAGACGCACGTGTAGCCAAATCTCCCTCCCCTCTTTACTTGAGATCCTTCCTTAACTCTTGTTCTATGTCTCCCCCTTGCCCCCCCTCCCCTCCCCCTATCATTGTGTTTGCTCATCTTCCGGCGTGGGTTATTATCAAACTTAAAAGTTGGCAGAATTTAATTTTAAAGATCCCATCTCAGGGGTAAAGCGTTCCGTCAGAGAAACGATTCAAAGTTCGATCGCTTTAAGGGTTATATCGACATCTTAATTATTCTGCACCCAAATAAATAGATTTCACATTTTTAAGCACTCAGAACTCAACAGCCCCTTTAGGTCCCTCCAAAGTATCGAGCGGTTTATGATGTCGCAGTAGTTGAGGACAAACGTTAAAAGGCTTTGAATAACTAAAGAAATTGCTACTAAAATAAAGATCTCTTATAGACGTGTTACCTGCTTGTTTGTTGTCAAGTCATGAGATATGAAACGCCGCAATTGGCGATTATCTAATGCCACCAGTCAACTCATTAGCATTTCCTGTATGAAGCGGCATACAAAATTGTCGAGTTATTTGCGCATTGCGAGAATGACACGAACGAATTCGTGTTCTTTTTTCAATCAGTGAGAATTTCTTTGCAAACACACCATACCTGGCATTTATAGTGCTCCCGTGAAGATAATGATCCAAGATCCTAATCCCATTTTGTGGTACGTTACGATAAATGGGAAACTGTTTAAGGAAAGATGAAAACGCAAGTGAAACAAGACCCGACTTAAGGACTTCGCAAATAGACATGTCATGGCCAGATGACTTCAAAGACATATCACCTATAAATTTGCCCGATGTCGTGGTAGAGAATGGTAAACTAACTCTAGACTTGAGCTTTTTGAAGTTAAAATCGCTGCCGGAGCAGGTTTGCGAAAGAGGAACTATTGAGGTTCTAAATCTGAACTGCAACAAGATATCTACTTTTCCTTATAAATTCGCAACCCTTCGCAATCTCAAAGAGCTTCATCTTAATAATAATTATCTGGAATTTCTTCCAGCGCAAATATGTACCTCAGTTAAGTTAGAAGTCTTGGAACTGAATCGCAATCTTATCGAAACTCTGCCCTATTGCATCAGCCATTTATGTCACCTTCGGAAACTAAATCTCGCCTTCAACAACATCAGGGATCTTCCTCCAAGCATCCGCTATTTAACACAACTGCATTATTTAAACATGGAAGGTAATAGCCTTCAAAGCATTCCCGAAGCTGTGTTTTCGCTAACCAGCATGGAGGTTCTGGTTTTAAGCGATAATGAAATTGAACATCTTCCTCACAGTTTATATCAACTAGTTCACCTCAAAGAGCTTTACCTGGATGATAACAAACTGACCGAGCTTCCGGAAGCGTTACATCGGTTTCTTTCCGAACTCGACAGCCTGAATGTAAGCAACAATGCTAAAGCATTGACATTATGTAAGCACCATGAGCCCCGCACGAAACAAGTCAGTAAGCGGAAACTAAATGATGTTGATCCCAATCCGGCGGCAGGAGAACCACTTGAAGAACTCGAAAAGTTTAACCGCAGTGTAGTTGCCGAAGATCGCTCCATGGTCTTTTCGGAAATAAATCTTAATCATCCCGAGGAGAAAAGAGACATCTTTGAAGGAGGTCATGCTTTTTTCAATTTGAAATCTGAAGACGCCAAACCGAGTGCTGCGGAGACAGCAAGGCGAAAAGCTCGGGCAACTAAAGCAAATATTCGTGAAGCAATCCGTCCTTCCCCAAAGTGGCGCATTTTGTACCGTGAAATGAAGAAAGCAGGATTTTTGCCAAATGTTAACGTGAAGCTGCCGAAGCGCCAGAAGCAGGAAAAGCCGCCCAAGATTGCGAAACAAGGGTCTCGTTACACTTGGAGAGGCTGGCGAGTCGATTCTGATTTTGAATCTGCGGTTTCGCAGCCCGGAGTGTCACTAAGTTCCAGTTTTGAAGATGTAATGGATGACTTCGGACATCCTTTGAGCGTCACTCGACTTTTCCCCGAAGTGAAAAGAATTGGCGGACGAATTACACTCGACCTTAGTTGGCAAGAGCTTAAGTTCGTATCCCCAACAGTGTGCGAGCTCGTAAATCTAAACTCACTCGTTCTTGATTTCAACCAAATTGAAGAGTTACCTCTCTCCATAGGAAACCTTTCCAGATGCCGCATGATAAGTCTTAACTGCAACAAACTCGTTTCGCTTCCGGAAAACCTGCGATTCCTTTCCAATCTCAGGCGCTTGTATTTAAACGGAAATTATCTTCGTGCGTTTCCTGACTGGCTTGAAAACTTCCAGCAGCTCACATGTCTTTCCGTAGAAAATAACGGAATGTCATTCTTTCCGGGGGAAATCTTTTACCTGGAAAATCTGGAAAATCTTTCACTCGCGGGAAACAAGATTAAAGAATTGCCGGAGAAGATCAAACGGCTTAAACGTCTAAGAGAATTATTTCTGGGACGTAACGTGATTGATACCATTCCTTACTCAATTGCCGAAATGGAATGTCTGCGAGTACTGTTTCTGGACAACAATGAGCTGAACACGATCCCTTACCCAGTCTTGAGTTTAGTAGAGTTACAAAAATTAAATCTCAATGGCAACTCCTTGAAGTCAGTTCCAGATAATATCACTAATCTTCGAAACTTGGAGGAGTTGAACCTGGGTAAGAACAGCATCAAATGCTTACCATATTGGTTTCATCGCTTGGAGAACCTCACAGTTTTATTTCTAAATTGTAACGGCATCACAATTTTTCCTGAGGTGCTTTGCAAGTTACCCAGCCTCATTTCGCTTGATTTTTCTCAAAACGAGATCACAGAGCTGCCAGATTTTGTACGAAGTAGTATCGGGGAAATGACGAACTTAGAACAACTGGAATTATCCAACAATCAACTTAAAAGACTTCCGGATAGTTTCAGGAATCTAGTCCATCTAGAAGTTCTTCATCTAGAAGGAAACCCTTTGATGGAGCTTCCCGTGAGTCTGAACGAGCTCGTCAACCTCCGAAAGCTGTACATCGATAGAACAATCAAAATACCAGAAAAAATTTTTCAACTCCCCAAACTGGAAATTTTTTGATTTTTTTTTTCAGGGAATTGTGGGTTGTATGTGTGTTTATATGCAGAAAATGGAGTTACGCTATTTATGGGAAAATGGTGACAAGAAAAACAAGAAAAAAATCGATTGAATGAAAAGCGTTTGTTGATATGGAGCATGAGCTCAGTTTAATGGATGATTTTAATCGCGTTTCGAAATGTAACTCTTCCTTAATCTTTTCCCTAGTTCCTTGCCCTCCTTTCCCGCCCGTAGGGTGTTAGAGGAGCGTGACCATGGAGAACAAGAGGGGATGATCTAGGTGTGTTCATGTTATGTCATGACGCGCCTTATTGTTTCATTCGCAATTACACCATAAAGTTCACTGATTACAATTATTTCATTTGAGCAGAGGAGTTGTCGGCTAGTCAAGAAACTAGTTAGGCAACGGAGGGGGGGGGTAAGCTTCTGAAGAAACTGTGGTACGCTCGAAACGTCAGCTTTAGAGCTTTAGAAACTCTTTACGGTGGCCATTTTTACATTATCTTGCCACGACAAGAGCGGCCAAACCGCGGCAAACCTATCCCCACCCCTCTCAAATCATCCCGCGGGCAAAGAAACGCGCGTCCCTGCATCGCAAATAGAGAGGGCCTGGTCGAAAGTTACTCGATAAAAGGTTTGACCATTTGCACTTCTGGATTGGTATTAAATGATCCTGTATGTGTGTGTGTGTTATTCAAACTGATTTCCACTCATTTTATTTTAAAAAAGCATATATTAAAAAAAAATTATTGAATAGGAATTAATCAATTCCTCTTTTCCTCTTTTCCTCTTTTATTACCATTTTCAAGTGTTTGTTTTACCATTTTTTTATGAAAACGTCAAATGTATCTCTCTGAAAGAACTGAGATTTCAGAATACCGCCCAGAAAAGTCTTCGGCAGTCAAATACTCGTTCCTGTAAAAGAGCACACGAACCTCGGTATATGAATCGTCAAACAAACAGGCCGCGTCGAAAGAACTGTAGAACAAAGAATTTCAAGTGAGGAGAATGTACGACTCCATCCCGCACATCCCATATGTAGTCTAAACAGGACAGAACTGATGAGACGTGACATCGATCACATTACTTATGTTTCTTTTTACGCCAGGATCAGACTTAATCTGGTCTCAAACAGTCTCGGAATTTCTTCCTTTTCAGCAGCTGTTTGATTGAACAATGTGACTGCTGACCACTATTTCGCAGGTTTTGAATCGAGAATAAAAAGGAATACTATATAAGCAATTCTTTTCGAACCAATCTGGTGGAAAACTGCGCCCTCCTTGTCAATTAGATAAAGCTCGCTCGGAAGAATTAACTGTAAATCTCGACAAAAAAAGAAAGATCAAAGGTTAGCTGCAGTTATTCACCACAAAGTTCGATTTGGAAAACATATCGTTTAGTTAATAATAGGTGAGTGGGAGGGATACTGCATCTTAAATCAACACCTTTGCCTAACCCGCTTAACTCCATGAAATGCCAAAAGGTAATTTTTAAACAATCCTTAGCGCTTGGCTTTAGTTGAATTTTTTCCCCCGTAAGGTCTTCCTCAATTTATCTTTTAGAAAACAAAAAAAAAAAGCGTTCGTTTTAGAACTCGGACTTTTAAAGGAGGCTAATTAAGCCAGCTGGTTTATTATGATCTCGTTGCATAAAATCTACATAATTTTAAAGAGAGTTGATTTAACAAATGTCACTTAGGCAACTTGGATCCATGTTTATTTTCTTTTCACTGCTGTTATCAGATAACAATAGCGCGCATTTTTTCGGTTTATAAAGACAAGAATACTCGAACATAAACAATACTTATGGAAATTACCTGTCATCCGGCGAGTAGATCGCTTGCGAACTTTACTGTTGCGCTGTCTGTTGGCACTACAAACAAGACAGTTGACCTCCGTAAAATATAAGATCTCTATTCCAATTTGTATGCTCTAAGACAAAACTCGCGTTGACAATATGAAGTGTTAAATATATTTCATTTTTCAAGTTCATATGGGAGCGAACCTGAAAAAGCTTTTTTTTTTTTCGGAAACATGTCTAGGCAAAAGCGAAAGATGTCACACGTGGCTACAGAGGAATGTTTATGTTCCGACACGATAAGGGTTCCTACATTTAAATCGCCCAAAAATAGGAGCATCTGTATAGTGCCATGGTTGAAGAGGAACACTCTTAGCATGTCCAAATTTAGGCAATTTGTACGAAGTTAATATTTAATGCCCCTCTCTGGTAAAGCGCAATATTCAACGGAACTGGAAACGCTTAAACAATCGGGAAAACACCTCCAGGGATACAATTCGTTGCCCAAATTTGGTTGGGGATAAGTATCATGTTGATTTTCATCCAATAGCAGTGTTTCTTATCAAAAGGGAAGAGTGCTGTGGTCTAAAACACGGCACGGCCCACTCTCTATCAGTTTCGTCCTCTTCCGATTGAGAGTCGTAATTGTTCCTTGTTCTACATTTTTCAAATTAAAATTCTTGAACTGTGCTCCACTTCACAATGACAGAACCTCATCTTTCTTCAGAAGAACTTGCTGAGATTCGCGAGTCTTTCGACCAGGTGAGCTTTATTCTCTCATTAATACGACGTCCAAGTCGTGCACTTGGTTCTCCGTAATTTTTTACCAATGGCTGGTTAACCCTTGGACATTACTTCATAATTTGCCTGAAAATTGAATTTTTTATTGAATAGATCGCGCATTATACTTTATGGAAGAAAATTGCACGAGAATGGGATCTGTAAATGCCGATTTTTGGTTCCGCAAATTTCTTCTATCATAATATTGTGTGTAACTTTCGAAGCTTTGCCTGAGATTAGTGTCGGTGACAGCAATATTAACTTCGACTTCTGTCTTCTTCATCAAAGTTCGATTTAGATAAAAATGGCCATATCACGACTTCTGAAATTGGAGAAGTGATGAAAGCTCTTGGCGAAAGTATACCCGGCTACAAGATACGAGATATCATTAAAGAAGTGGATATAAACGAAAACGGGACTGTCGAATTTACAGAATTCTTGGAGGTAAGCGATCAATTTTCTGTTGAATATCGGAAGTGGAAGCTCGAGTATGTGCATTTGGTCGCCATGAAATACCAAAGTTTGTTTTACCTTCCCAAGTGTTACACTTCTAATCAACGTACTAATGGGTTGGGAGTAATTACTTCTGCAACATATTTCGCATGTAAATTTACAAGTTATAGATAATTAACTGCATTTTAGAGAAGATTACGGTTGTATTCAGTAATCTTCATTCGAAGGCATGAATTACTCTCGGTGAAAACGAAATTGTTGTGGGTTTTGCTTCATCGCACATGACTGGCAGACTTCAAATTCTGTTTCCTTAATGGTCAACCCTCAGAAATGCAATTAATCGCCAGATCCGTGTCAAAAGCTAACAATGATGTTAATTTGCTCTGGTTTTTTTTTTCGTTCGTGGAAAGCCCATATTCATTCTGAATTCAAAATAGAGTCAAACTTTTAAGAAAACATTCTTTACATGATTTTCTGGAAAAGTTTTGTCTTTACACCTGTCATGGGAGTCCAGGTGTGACCTCTGTTCTCTTCAAGTGAAGTTTCAGAACCGTCTTCTCCTTACATCACTGGTCAGGATATACGTCAATCGTAGTGACAATAAAAATAATTTAAAAAAAGGGTTGAGAGTCAACTCCAATTTTCTGCCAAATATTCTCATGTAGTATAAAGCACACAGGCGAATGGTGCTTTTTGTGCATGCTGATTGGCTATGTTGGAGGTGATTAGCAGAGAGGAGTCAAAATTGTACCTCAAAACTTCAATTTCTGACCATTTTGTGATATATACAGACAGAAGAAAATTGATTTTTTCAGTTTCTGTGTGGTTCATATATATACCAAAACAGTTATTCACTTTGGTGTTGGTGAAAGTCATGGAAATTTACCTTTACATTTGGTGGATAACTGTTAATGATTGAGTAGATCACAGATTTGTCAGTTACCTGAAGTCCATTCTTTGCAAGGCTTTTGAGACAGGAATTTTCAATTGAATGTCCAAAGAAATCAAATATTGAACCAGATTGGTATGTCTTGTTTCTATTTTCTGATGTAATAGTTTTTATTATCGGGGTTTGAAACAATCAACTGAAGAGTGCCCAGTTAGAATGGAAGATTACTGATCAACTTTTGGGAATTGTAGGTTAACTAACTTAACTGTTTAATTCCCAAGATCACATTAGTAATTCTCTTTACCGTCTGCCAAATGATTATCATTATGTTAGTTTGGAGAATTTGATATTAGATCGATTAGTAATCTCATAATTGACAGTTTACTTTATTCTCATCACTTGTCTGAATGATATTGTATAGATGTAGTAAGGAGAAATTCTTTCTTGGTCACTCATGGGAGTTAAAGGGTTAATAATAACCACTTCACCCTTTAAACCCCCACCCCCCACCCCCAAGAGTGATTAGCATCTAATTTCTCCTTAGAATATCGCCCTGAATCAAACATTTAGGTCATGAGTATCAATGGAATGATCACTAGAAAAGAAGCCCTTGATTGTTTGACAAATTCTCCTTATCAGAACCTTAGGAAAGGTATAGAGAATAGTATAGAGAATGTGCATGTTGATGTTATGATGTAAATAGTTAACCAAAAATTTTCATGGCCTCTGCTTTGAAATTTTTACCTGTAATAGTACTGCAAGGGTGTAAAAATTCCACCTATTTTTTCACCCAGATTTACAAGAAAAACAGCAAGAAATTTTCAGCAGGCACAGAATTCAAGAAACTTATAAAGAAAACAGAGAAAGTAGAGATTTCAGGAGGGACATCTGAAAGTTCTGCTGAAGGCACCAAGCATACATTAGCAGAAGCTGAAAAGGTAGCATTTGCCGACTGGATCAACACTGCCCTGCAAGATGATGCAGAGGCAAAGGCTTACTTGCCAATGGATCCTGCAACCCAAGACTTGTTTGTTAAGATCAATGATGGAATCATTCTTTGGTGAGTAATGTTGTTAAGTACATTAACTCTCCTGTGACATGCTGCTTCATCTTGTAAGATGCTCTCCTTGATAAGGGGAGGAAAATGTTTTGTTACAAACTGGTATGACTACTGAAATGAGACTAGTTATGTCATTCA